AACAAAGAAAGAAAGCAGAGAACAAACAGTACGCGAGACTCGCGTATCAAACAAACAAGAGAACAAACAGTGCGCGCGACTCTCGCGCAACAAACAAAGAAGAGAACAAATAGTACGCGAGACTCGCGTAACAAACAAACAAGAGAACAAACAGTGCGCGAGACTCGCGTAACAAAGAAAGAAAGCAGTGAACAAACAGTGCGCGAGACTCGCGTAACAAACAAACAAACAAACAATCCAGAGAACAAACAGTGTACGAGACTTTGGAAGACAGTTACAAAACTTTAAACAGACTAAAAACCATACAGTGCGCTAGATATTTTCCTAACAATTAAATAAACTCTCTCAACCGATCTAAAGCCAGTCATCACTTGGTCATTTGCACTCCCTCGGTTGGAGCTATGTACACGAGGTTTTCTTGGTGCTATTATCAGCTTTTTGTTGTATTTACCCTTGTTGACTGGACGTTTTGTATTTTGCAATATTCATTCGAAATGTTTACTCGTTGTGGGAACATCTACTAACCTGTCCCAATCTTGCGTTTGCCTTTTTAGCTGTAAAAGTACAACAGAGGAGAGTTGCGATGCCAATTTTAATTCTAAGGAAAATTGCAAGGAACAGAAAGTTAGGGAAAAGAAAAACAAGAAGTCGAAGAAAAAAGAAAAAGACCGTAAAAGTGGAAAAATAAAGCGAAAATATACGGAAACAAGAAACGGACAGAATTTTACGGATGAGCGTGGTACTAATGAAGGCGATACGGACAACAAACAAACAAAAAAGAAAAAGAAGGCAAGAAAAGTGACTACATAGTGCAATTATATAGTCACGTACAACCATTTATAATTGGTCGGAACCGTACCACGTTACCCACAGCGTACAGTCCGAAATCGGATCAAACTGTTAAAAATCAGACAGAACAGTTCAAAAGAACACGAAACCTTTTGAAACCAAATGGAACAGCTCCAGAGAGAGTGAAAGCGCGCTAATAGAAACTCCTCCACAATCAAAGAGTACCTCTGAAATTGAACTGAACAAACTGGAGTCGGATATGGAGAAATGCGGTGTGAGCACAGAGGAGAAAAGGAAAAAGAAAGGGAGAAACAGGTCATAAAAAATGTCAAACAAAACTTTCACCAATCGATCAATCTCTGTCTTTAATTCCTTGAACCAATTAGATTCAAATAAATAGCTGCTTGAGGCAGTTTATACTTGTCAGAGTTTTCATTGGTCATTTTTTTTTTTTTTTTGTCTGATTGATTGATGTGCTTACTTCGATTTTCCTTCAACAACACTCCATCGAAAAGTGTTCTAATTCAGTGCCTAAATTTGTTTGGGTGTAAACAGAGAGTCTTGACACATATTTTCCACTGTCGCGAAAGGAATGCTTCTTGATTCGAGGTGGTACGTGCATACGGAGTTCGCGGTAGTTGTCTGAGATTTCAGTTACAGAGTAGGTCTAGCATGCACCAACATCCTGTCCACAGTGATTTTAGGCACTGCAAAAGTATAAGCCACAATAAGCAATGCCGTTGAAGATCGCGGGCTTTGTGTATTCTCGGAGGGGAGCCTGTGTTTAGCCAACTATTGTATATGATTTCAGTGCATGTGACTCCGCCACTGCTGTTATCTGTGGGGTGGTCCGTGAGGTCTAAAAAAATTCTTGAGCTGTGGGGGGAAGACTGGTGGTCTTTGAGGAGGCGACAAGCCTTGCTCTCGAGGTGAACCACCGGAACCAAACTGGAACGTCAGGGAAATTGTTGACGGAGCCGCGCCTGAAAAAGGACACAATAGGTCACTTTGTTTGAACAAGCTTCAGAGATGATCGCTTTCGAAGGATTAAGCAAACAGTTTGAGTAATTTTCACCCACTTTTACCGATAAAATTGTAAGTGCTGAAATTTTTTCTTTCTGAATTGGGAACGAATTGTAAAAACCTCTTCATAATAGGGCCGTTGACAACGCAGAAAACAAAAAGAGCTTTAAGTTTCAAGCCGAAGACTATTGTTAGAGAGTAACGATGTTTACTTCAGTCGGCGAGGCAGTAATACTTGGACATAACTTTTGAGACCTACCGACTGATTCCAACAATTGTCGAACCTATCGCCTATTAATCTGTACTTCGGGTGCTCAAGTACTGTGCTTAAGCAGAATCGCTGTAGCGGATGCTTATCAAAACACCTTGTCCATATATTAAAGAAGTACAGTACCTGATTCCTGATTTCTGGTAGGACTTCGAGATGCTTTATTAAGTGATCCGGTCCTCTTTGAGTCACCATTTATAGGCGCCTCCTCTCTCAGTCCCTTTCCTATTTGGACTATGCCTAAGTTGAAGATTAATTTGTTTGTTTAGTGAGTAAGACAGACACGAAAAGCTATTAACTTGGAGGTAAGCCTAAGGGACGGAACAAATTGTTAATGCCTTTGCAAGTTTAAACAAATCTACATTAAACTCTTCGTGGCACACAGCGGTCAGGGGTACTGCTGCTGCCCTTGAAAGAGGACTTTTTCCTTCAAAGGTTCTCTCAGTTCATTATGTTTCCATGTTACTTTGCTTTTATTCATTTTCATTCTTTCTTTCTGACGCATCTCAGCGGGCAGGAATCTTAATTATTCGAATCTGATTGGCTAATCATGCGCTCATAACCGGTCCAACTTCTAACAATACGGACCACGGACCGGAATTTTTCCACGCCATTCACGGGCAGGAATCTTAATTATTCGAATCTGATTGGCTAATCATGTGCTCACAACCGGTCCAACTTCTAACAATACGGACCACGGACCGGAATTATTCCACGCCATTCGTGACAAAATGAACAGTTCTCCTTCAGGGACTTCTTTCCTATCTTACCAGGAGATATAACTGGAGACTGTGACTTCCTGCCATGTTTTCCAGTCACAAAGCCAACATTTTGGAGACAGCTGTCTTCCCATGGGATTATACCAGTTGCCATGGTGACACTGTTCAACTCGTTTCTTATGCTCTTCGGGCTGTCAGATGGAGCATGCTCAGTAGCGAAAGGAGCGCCACCTGTCTCGCTGTCACTGCTGCTTGCTACAGGCTGCGGGGGCAAAATAAGTCATAAGTGTTGGTTATCATTACAAACTGAGACAATTACTCAATTTGTACTTTCTTTTCATCCTGACGTCCATCTATGGGAAGCAGGGTATCTCTCAGTCGCCTCATCTGGTGGCAACTGATCAAAGATAAGCACCAGGTTGCATGCGCGCATTCTCACATTGCGGGAAAATTAAAGACCACTTATCAAAATAATTGTAACACTTTAACTCCCATGAGTGATCAAGACAGAATTTCTCCTTAAAATGAATATCATTCCAATATCAGACAGACAAGTGATGAGAATAAAGAAAAATGTCAACAAATTCTCAGAACTAACATCATAAGAATTGTGACAGACTGAACGGAGAATTATTAATGAGATCAGGGCGTGAAAGGGTTTAGTCTCATGGACGTGAACTTTGTACTTGAGTCATTACCTTCTCATCCTCCTGATTCTGTAGAGCGTAAGTCACTAAAGTTCTGGTACACAACAAGATTGAATTGCGTTAGTGTGTTGTAAATATTTACTAATTTACAATAGCAATTAATATTGAAAGCTGAGATTCCATCGCCATGTTGGTTAACCGGTACCGTCGGTTATATTATAGGCTACGTTCACTCGTAAGACATCAAGTTGAACGCTTGAAGAGAAATGCTATATCTATGCACACCCATTTATTATTCTCTATATCATACCCTGAATCGTCGACATTTAAAAGCTTGCTTCTCAGATCATTTATGGTGGATATATCGATTGTGTCCTGCGGAGTGATGCGCGCTTTCGATCTAAGCTTCACAGGAGGTCTGTCAACAGGTACAGCGACATACACAGGCGACTGGCGGCCGGTCATTAAAGAAGAATTGCTGCTCGTAAAGCGAGATACGTCTACGAAATTGGAACTGGGTTTCACCGGTAGTGTGTTAAATCTGTCGATCGCGCTTGGGGTCTGATAAAAAGAGAAACATAGTCGATACGGAGTGTAGGCTAAGCTCTTAGGAAAGGTAACAATCCTTAACAAACAAAGAGGCACGCCTTACCAAACCGGTAGGATTTCTGTTCATTTGTCCATTGCCCGTGTATTTCTTCATAACCTTGGATCCCACTAATTGCGTAGGTTGCGCATGCGTCTCCGGCGCAGTCAACTGAGTGGTCGCGGGCTGTCGAGGAGACTGGTAACCTTTTGAAGTGGAGGTAATAGTTGGGGGCTCGAGCTGTTGAACTGTATAAAAGCAAACAAACAGGTATGATTTTTTTCCATCTATTAAAATAACGGTACTCAACAGAGGGGGTTTCGTTTTATAATGAGGATATAGCATCCATTAATAAAGTGTACAGAAAAAAAATAAAAAAAAGCAACCTTCACGTTTCTTAAGTACGCGAGGCGTTTCTTCCTTTGTTTGTTGCCAACTTGTTGCTTCAGTAGCTGCAACAGATAGGGCTTTCTTTTTCGCGGAGTTCTTTTGGCTGAGTTTTTTCGTTTTTCTTTCTTCCAGTGAAATCTGAGACCAGGACTTTCTCACTTCTTGTTCTTTCACGAGTTTCGGTTCGTACAAACGCGCCTTAAAAATAATACAACAGCAGACAAATTAACGAGTCTTCCATTTCCTTCGATAAAAATCTTAGCTCTTTTTCAGAAACCGATACAATCACGCATTGCTGTAAACGCTCCATTTAAGTTTGCTATGCATATCTTCGACCGAAAGCGGGTTGGCTAGACGTGAAGGAGGCAAAGAGGTACGTACGAGATAAAATGTGCTGTTTGCCTTAAAAGAATTGGCACTTGTGAACAACAAGGTTCATTCCCTGAATAACCAAATTTCCAACTTTTGACAAAAAATTCAAGTTAAACCGTCCTGATACTACACAGCCTCGCATTATTATTCCCTAACCATAGGAATATACTTCTACAAATTTCCCTGCACTGTTATCTTTGAACAGAGGGCTTTTTAAACTGGAATTTAAGGTTGTTGTTCGGGAATAAAAAAGTTAAGTTAAGAAGCTACTAGGAGGCATTAGCTGTTCTAAATCTCTTCCGATGATAGAGAGTTGCCATGTTCAGCGATCTGTACCTTAGTACTTGACAAACAGTCCCCTTTAGGTTGCCATGGAAAATACGGATATGGTTGCACAGGAGTTCTGGGTCTGAGTAGAGGCGTTGGCTGGACCACAGGCTCTTGTCTTTCATTCCCGGCCGTCTTGTAGCGGCTGTTGTACATGGTAATTTTTCGCGCCAGTTCAAGAGCTGAGCTAATTCTCTTTTCATTTCGACTTTTTGGTGCTACATACGCACAATCTACAGAAAGAGCGATAGTTGTACAGTAAATGATACGAAACAACGGAGCACTGATGGGTAATGACCTAGTAAAACATCTTACCATGAATTATCATAAATTAATGACCTCGTCAAACATCGCATAAATTATCATAAATTACTGACCTTGTAAGACATAAACTACTATGAATTTCAATCATATCATTGCCATTAACATAATTTATCATTAACATTAAATCGACGAAACTCATGTCATTTTTTTACATACCAGTGCCTTTTTCCAACTGTTTGGCCAAATAAGACACCGTGAAGTGTCCCTCCTCCTCGCTTATTTCAAATCCTTGAGGCTGCGCGGGACTGGTGACAGACCAGCGACTCAAACTAGCAGAATAAGCGTAAAATTTGGATCAAATGACATAAAGCCTGAAGGAATTGATCACGTATCCTGTTTCGTAATTGGGGTCTTTCTATTACAGAAAAAAAAATAACATGGGCATCAAGGTGGGAGGGAATACCCCCTCATGGTCATTCGCGCTTTAAATTGGAAATTGGTCACCAGTCGCTCACCCAAGTGTTCGCAAATTGTCTGTGGTCTTCCGCGCCGCATCCCTGTATGTCTGTGATCAGGGAACGTGAGCACTAATGATTTTGGATCACGGAGAGAATGCAACTGCTTGGGAAACCTTTCTATATCTTAATCTGTTGGATAGCAAATGTTCCAGAATCAACAACTGAGTGCTTCAGATGAATAACCTGCAACAGCTGTGGGGTAAAAGAACACTCGACATGTTGCTAGTTTCGCGCGCTCTAAAACGTCCTTGCCCGACCTCTCAGTTATGGAGGCCTAAGACAAAACGTGTCCGTGCGGGAAGCAATTTTTTCAAGGTTAACTCAGTCGAGCAGGTAAAATTTTCCTGCACAAGGTCACCTTGGCTTCTCTTCTACATTTTAAACAAATTCCTCAAAGTCTACTGAATAAGTAAAGAACAAGTTCCCAAGCGTTATTAACTCCACAGATTTATAACTCACTTGCCAGTCCTTTCTGGGGTCTCTTTCAGATAAGTAGAACCGTCAGTGTAACGAAAATGGGGAACCTCTGATAAAAAAAAATAATAAACAAAAAGCAGCGAGAATTAAATAAGGATACAGTGTAGTGTACAAACGCTACTTTTGATTTTTGTCATAATCATAAAAATAATTTTGTTAGAGTGTTAGTAAACTTTGGCATACGAACATCAAAGAGGCAACAACTAATCAAACAGTAGACGAAGATGAAATATGAGGTGGAAGATATATGACAAATTTAAGAATATCGTTCTTGGCTTTTCACGATATGTACTTAAGTTCAATTTATCCTATGTTTAATTTTCTTTTCTGGGGTTGTATTGTAGTGACTGAGACAAGCATTAAAGAATTAAACTGTAGGAATTACATTTACAATTATAGGAAAAGTTTCTGGGAATTGAGGAGGTAGAGGAATTTACGCAAAATTGAGGTTAGCTCAAGAACACAGCACAATGATTTCCTAAGAGATCGAAACGGGAACGCCTGGTTAGCGCACAAAACTGAACACTGCATCATAAGAGAGGTTAGTCACCTTTTGACTCAGTTACTAACACGCCACTCATCATATAAGCATTAGTGACAGCTTCCAGGTAATCCTGCTGTGGGAAAACCACACTTCATCTTTAAAGAAGGCACACGAATTTTAAAAACAAGAGTTCAACTGTTAATAAATACTTTTATTATAAAAACTGCGTTGTATTTCCAGGATTTCCAGCCCTAAGAAAAGCCGTCACCGCACACGTGAAAATTTACGATAATTTTTTTACGGGTCTTTGATTTTGCCAATCACGTCACTCTGTCCTGTTGATTAATGAAAGGCAAAGCGTTCACCATTCTCAATCCAAGTCGTTTGTAGAATTATCTCGTCAGTAAATGCCTAATACAAGGTTGCCTTTAGGTATGGAATTTCTCTTCTCGTGTTCAGATGTCGAGTTGAACACTCGAAAGAGAAATTCCATATGTACGCACACCCAAGTAACATTCTCTATTTATTAATAATTATACGATTTTTCACAAACGTTACTGCCCTAGTTCCCGGCCTTCGCTCATCCCTCTTATTCTTTTTTTCTCTTTCTGTCATTACTTTAGTACTTACCCTGCACGCAGAACCATCCAACTTCAGTGAGCCCATCGGTGTACACGGTCTGCTGTTGCTTTTGTGCTCATGCTTCCGTGGCTGTGGATTGTCTAACTTCATCCGCGCGGAACTGGGAAGAGCAGACCGCTGGACAAAATTTAACAAAGTGTTTAATTACAATTTTTAGTTTTCCACATGCTCCGTGCGATATTGGAAGGAAAATGGTTTAATCTGACCGATAATGAGCGTGTCTGAATTGAGGTCTTCTCAGCGTGTTTGACATCTTAAGACATTTTAAGTGTGTTTTGACGTTTTCACTCTTAACAAATAGAGCTCCAATCTCAGACAAATTGCTAAGCTATGGAAACTTTTCAAACATACCGAGGAAGGTTTTACGATTACCAGGTGGGTAGACAAAATAATGGAGATAAAACTTCATGAAACAGAAGCTGGCATGAAGTTCAATCATCCATTCCATTAGACCCTTAAAAGAGTTTAAAACCTGACACATCTACAGAAGTGTGATTTCTACCAACAAGACTGCACGAGTTGCAAATTTTCGAAAATAATAAGCAATTTATTCCCAACAACTCACTTTTGGGTGATGTTTCTGGTACATTAACTTTACTTCTGTCGCTCGCTCTTGGTCTTGCTAAAATGGCAGAAAATAAAAATGACGTTAATACTCTAAAAGTACAGAGAGTTGCATCAATATAAAGAAATTTTCAAATGAGCGTCGAAAGTCATCCGGGATTGCTTTGGTGTTGCATAAATTCCCTTTATGATTGGTCCAAAACACCAGCGCCACCCTCTCAACCAATCAGATTCAAAACTGAGGGCAATCACGACTTGGTCACCCGCGTTTTCCCGCGCTTTGGGCAATTTGCTTGTTTTTACTTGAGCCGGTTCTCATCGGCTCCTTGTGGCATTGTCCTTTGCTATGATTGGCTGTTTTGAATACTTCGGTTTTGTTGTGGAGCACCCTATCAAAATGTGCTCCAACTGAGCATTCTATACCCTATGATATCAGAGGATACAAACGTAAAAGGAAACAAGTCAGTCGTAATGTCATGTCACTCACCGCAGAACGCGTCACAACATCAGCCAGCAAAACGTCCTTGACTTTCATAGCTTTGGCTCGCCGCTTGTTCCGTTCCTTTCTCGTCTTCAGCTTCTTCTTGCGTGGTTCTTGGTCAGTATACTATTTTATTTCAAAAAACAAGAGTACCAAGGGTAAGATCATATCAATTTGTGAAGGTCAGTTATTACGAGATGATCTTTTATCAATCGAGAGACTCACCATCTTCAGTCCTTCAGGAGCATAAATGAGATGCATTGGTAGACCATCGGACATAGAGCTGTCTGAACCGCCGGTGCTGGAAATAAAAGGGAAAGAAAACACTGATTGAAATAAACACTGCCCCTTTTTTAGGTGAAATAAGCGACGGGCAAATCTCAAGTGAGAATCAATAATAATCCCACAATGCAGTGGTTGCCCTTCATTACGTTGTGTGATTGGTCTAGGAAACACGCGCCACCTTCTGAGCCAATGAAATGCAATACTTCAACCATTCACGACTATCACTCGCGTTTTCCCGCGCTTTATACCTCTTGAAAGCCCATTCAGGCCTACAGTGAAATTTACCTTTGCCTAGTTAGCTGTCGAGATTACTTTGATTTTGCTTATACAACACACGTAGACCCGTCAAACTTATCACAAAGTCAATGACTATGGCGGCATTTAAGAAGGAAATGAGCCGATCAAAAGTTGTGTTTTGTGCAGTAAAACTCACGTGAGGTGAAGGACAGGTGACGAAAGCTTCCTCTGATTGGCTGAGTTCGACATGTGATTGGATAGGTTGAGCCAACAGTCCCAGAGGACACGGCTAAATACAGGTTTTAAGACCAAACCTACCTTGATTCGATATCAGAAGTATAATTGAGGTCAAGATCTATGTCAGACTCGGTTAGGGTGGGTGCCGCAGTGCCTTTTCGCTTCATCCTCTCCAATATATCCGCCTTCATTTTCAACTCCAGCTCTCGTAAGATAGTTACAAACTGTGAACAAGACAATATCAGCGATATTAAGTGGATTACGACAATTAGTCTTTTTAATGGATGTCTTCCTCGGTGTCTTCGTCCTAACTGCCTAAGGCCCCATATTGAAACTCCTGGGAAACGATGCACAGATGGTGACGTACGGTGAAGACGACCTCTTACCTTTGAATCATCAGGATCACAGTAATCTAGTAGAGTATCACACAAGTGATATCCCATCGACTCAAAGTCCGCTGTGTTGAAATGATAGCCGGCGCGTTTACCAATTGACGAGCCACAGAAAGTCGCCTGCAGGAAAAAACACAGCGAGATGAAAAACACCTTCAACATATAAAACCTTTGCCGGCAGGGGGCGATACGTAACACAACAATATTTTGAATCGTTTTAGTGACGAAGGAAACTTAGCCTTTAAATGGAACGAACACTCGAAATAAAAACTCGGGTGACGAAGAAAATTAAACCATCAAATGGAGGGAAAACTCGAAAAAACAGTGTGCTGCTATGCAAAATCATAAGATGGGAAGAAATAAACCCAAAACACAAGGGATTTCTCGTGCTTTCTCAAGAGTTCAGAAAAAAAAAGGCAGAAAGAGCTAGACATTTCGCTCGTGACTGAGCAAGAAGTTTAATCTCACCTCCATAGTAAAACTGTTCAAAATCCCCATATGCCACATAACAATCCGACCTGTTCCTTCCTGTAAGAAGTTTAAAATTTGTGTTTCTTAATTAATGTCTAATTATCCGTCTTCTTCGGTCTGGAAAGACTGTATATCTGGCTGGTTATCTGTCTTCCTAACTTCCTATCTAGTTGTCTGTCTATTCACAAGTCGACGTTCAGTCTTTCTGGAGAGAGACAGACAGAAAGTCAATTGTCTTGTTGAAGAGCGTAGAACAGATGAGTTCTGTCAGTTTTTTTTTAATCCAGACTTATCAACAGGGAGTCCAGCGCAACACAGAGGTAAAACGTCTGCGCATGTGCGAACGTTTTAGAGGCTACGTGACAAGCTTTCAGGCTTTTGCGGTATTTGAAAACCGTATGATATTTTTGATAAAGCTCAAAATAAAATTGTAAATCAGCAGGAAAGTCGTGATTAAAGAAGCTATGGATATAACAAGTCTTGAGTTTTCCATTCCCCTACTCTTTTTTTCTGTTACAGATTTAATGAACGCTTAGATGTTTTTTTTTTCTGTTTCGCATATTTGCGTTACAGCAATTGTTCCTGTTTTCCAGGGAAAATTTGCGCGCTAATTTGGCTCGCGGCCGGCCAAAATTTATCCCCTTGCGCATTCCTTACGTTTGACCGCTGTGTTGTCAAGCGCACTCAGTGTGTATTCCGAGGCAAGTGATGGAATGCATATGTCGCACAATCGTGACCAGCGAAATATTATATTTTACAAACCTTGCTCTTCTGTACTTTAAACTTGCAACCTTTGTATGAGAACTGTTGGAAAATCACAACAAGTGTTGCTTATGGAGCTTAAAATTTTGACTGACTGGTCTGCACTTTAAATGGACATTTGTACGATTAATTCCTAATCCCAATTTGTACGTATTCTCGACTCAAAGGAAATGAAGATGTGTTTTTTTCATAACGTTTTTCTTAGGAGCCAATATGAAGAGCCCAAAAAGTCTATGCAACAATTGCTTCCCGCCAAATTATACTACTTCTCTCGGAAAAACCTTCAAAGTTACCGCACCTTATAAGTCTTCACATGAGTCAAAACCGTTCTCCATCTAAAAAGGCTTATTTTCCTTTGATCAATTGCTTTTATTACCCACAGGTTTTAGAAACGATGGACACTACTGGAAAACAAATTAATCCTTGCACCGCACCTTGCTAGGGGCATTTTTAGATACCATCACAGGAAACACTCTTTCTCTCAATCTCTTCAGAGGATCGAAGCGATTTTCACAGCCATAAATGAACACATTCTGCTTGCGACTGTGTCCGTGCAGATCGCAGTATAATGTTATGTCGCGTTCCTCAAATAATCTGCAACAACAACGAAAAAGAAACAAAACAAAGTGCTAGGTATGTTATGACCCAGTTCACCGACTAAAGTGATTGTGTCACTGACTAAAGTGATTGTCGAGCGTAAAGACTCCATAGAGGGGACTGGGATTCTTACGAACTCATAAAAAGTGGAAGGTAAAGTAGGGAGTTACAAGTCCATGAAAAATTCAACATTATGAAGTACATGGCTTCAAACCAGCAGTTAACAGTCGACCTGCAGTTTAATCGTGTGGGTGGGACATATCCTTAACACTTCACACTCTCACATCAGAATCCATTTTCTCCGCACTCTTCTCTATAAATTCCCATTGGTATTGACGATGATTTAGTAATAGTACTGTAAGGAGAAATTAGACTCTGGTCACCCGTAGGGTTTTAAGGGTTAAAAGTTGACGTTAAGTGACTTTTTGAAAATTTGGTTGGAGGAATTTCGTGTTGATCCTGTCGAGAGGGTATAAATGGGGTGATGGCTTTTACGGCTAACGGATGAAATTTTGGCCAATTTACGGCTAACGTTTAATATCTTTCCATTGTCATACCCAGAAGTTTTTCTAACGGTTAACTTTTTCTACGACTAACGGTTAAAATAAACCAATTTTAACGCCTAATGGCTAAATTGTTTGGGTCGCTTTAAGGCTATCGGTAAACCCCATTGAAACCCTCTATCACCTGCGATATTCAATAATCTTCAATCAGTTGTGTGTTATTATTTGTTGGAAGAGTTAATGTTCAGTCGTTTTCTTTCGTTTTTTCCCGCCGACCCCCCCCCCCCCCCCCCCCCCCCCCCCTTTTCCACTCCCCATTCCAAGAACGAAACGCCCGATCACGGCTTAGCTCAATAGCAAATAATGAATTTATAAAAGATATTTCTAGTACGGAGCTCCTTACTTGCGAACCATATTCCTGACATGCCAAATGGGAGGGAACGAATCTTTCAGCACTGTCTTGTAATTCCTGTTCAGGTCTCTCCCGGCTAGTGAACACCGATAGTTACCAACAACGACTCCGTCAGGATTTAACATAGGAACAATCTTGAAAATGAACATGTCACGGAGGAGCTATGGAGCAATAAGGGCCGTGAAAAATGAGTGAAATGACTGTTTTCACCGAGACTCACCAAACGTCTAGTAGGTGTTGAAAGAATTTTGGGATTGTATTGGTTTTGCTTTAAGGCTCTGTGATTGGACCGGAAAACCCGCGGCATTCTCGCAACAAATCACATGCAACTCTTGCATAAACCCAGAGGCATTTCCCGCGCTTCTAGCAGCTTGCTTGCATGTTCTAAGTTCTGATTAGCTGTTGTGACTTTGCATTTAATTTGCGACACCCAATTCAGCGACAGACGCTCTTCACATTAGGACGTTCAAGATCTCAAAAATGAAGATTCCCCGTTAGAGTGAAATAAATCGCACCCATGGCATCAAAGTCTATGAAATCTCATTGGTTCCTTACTCAGCCGATATGAGTCGATCAAAAGGTGCTCCAAGTGGAAAAAAAACTAACCTTTGCGTCAGCAGCGTTGCTTGTTAGATAATCTAAAAGTCCTTTCATCATCCAACTTGAGTTAGTCTCTCCTGGGTGAACTCTTGCCGTCACTACCACTCCTTGTTTGGCCTAGAATCAAATAAATAAAAACATAAAATAAAGATAAGTCTTGAAACAAGACTGACTTGCATGGCTGACGAAGGTCTTCTCAGTTTCTGTACCATAAACAGACTGTCACCCCTTCTAATGGTCGGGATTCTAGTCTGTCGTGAATAACCCCTCCCCCTTCCTCCTTAAACTGTTCGTTCGTCAAGTTTCCATGATAGAGACGAGTTTACGCAATTCAGCACCACCCTCGAAAGAGCGCAGCGTGCGAGAGCAAAACTATCAATAGGTACTAACACAGGGGGAACAACTTTGACTAAAACAACCTCAAAATTTTCACTTTCCCATAAAACTGTTTTTTTTTTAGTTTGAAATGGTCATACTTCCTTTCTCTTTCATTTACTTCCAAGCCTACGATTCTGGACGGGTAGTTTTACTGTTTACATTTATTTGGTTAAAACAAGATTTATTATGGGAGTTTCTAAATAAGCGCGGCCGCTCTGACAATCATTTGTCCCAACTCGACAACAAAGAGAGACACTGTGATAGCAAAGTGTTTTGCCAAAGAACACGGCCCAACGATTCTGACCAAGGTCAGGACCCAGACCTCTTAACGCAGAGTCTGGCGCGCCAACTACCATACCAGAGAAGATCAATTTGTATTGCAAATCTGAAATGACCACCAAGCTAGTTTAAGATGACTTTTCTCAAGATGCACAAAAAAAAAATCACGGTGACGCAGACGTCTGACCAGATTGATAAGTCTGGGTTAAAAAAACTGACAGAACTCTTCAGTACGACGTGCTTTGACAGAGTTACAACTTTTTAAAGTATGAACAAGGTATAGATTGCAATACCGATATAGAAGATTCAGGCTTACAAATACTTAAGTTCCATTCCATACCTCAGCATCAGCTGGCCTTCTTGATGGGTTTGTGACAGTGAGTGTGTAAACAAAGTTTCCGGCAAGAGTCCGGCATAACACTCTTTGTTTGCATATCCGTGATCGCACCGGGTCGTTCCTCAAGTTTTGAAGATATTCCTGGATTAAAAAAATTAAAATAAAATAGTATGTATTGCACTTGAGAGTCACTCAGTCGGTCAGGGAGTAAGTAAGCTAAACAGTCAGTTGATCATTTGATCAAAGAGTCAGTCTATTAATCAGTCAATCAGACAGTCAGTCTTCCAGTTGGTCCACCACCCGATCTGATAATCATCCAAGTAGTTGATTAGTCAACCAGTTCCCCTCTCAGCTGCAAAGTCAGTCTGTCTATAAATCCTTCATTCATTCAGTGCTTCACCACTCAGCCAGTCAGTCTTAAACTTACTTAGCCAGTTCAATAGTCATATATTCGATCAGTTCAGAAAGTCAGCTAGTTATTTCCCAATGCCATGGTGTTTAGCCGTATTTTCCATACAAACATATAGTTTAATTAAGCACACCATCTACTCTGTGGAAAGGTCACTGAAAATAAACAGTCCAATTTAACAAGAACATTTCTTTCATTTCTTTTCATTAACATTTCTGGGACATCTTCAGGTATTTTAATATAAACACTCGACTTACTAGCAAGTCAGAATAGGTGTATGGATAACAGTGAGCAAAATAGTACGTGTCATTCTCATTGGGAAATTCACAAGTCCATGTTAATGAGTAATGGTACTTTTCTTTCGTTGTGTCTTCACGTCTGAAATAACAAACAACAATTGATTGACTGTTGACATGAAATTTTGTCTGGTAGGAGAAAGCTCTAGGTAAGAAAGACAATGTGCCTTTTAAGGAATCGTTCTTTCTCAGGTATGGTTCATAGGAGGAACACTTTTGTCTATTTCAATTATCTGAAATATACTCATGTCAATAAGAAAGGTGCAAGCGACAAATTTATTCTTGCATGTTGGCTGTGGTGATTATTGATTAAGGCACTTGCAGAAAGTGAAACATAAAAAAGAATTGGGGCTTTTAACAGGGTTGAACCCACCCTTTTCCACAGACCTCCTATTGGGTACCACTTACAATTGAGATTACTAAGCTGCAATGTCATTAACAAGTAACAGGTAAAGTAAAAAAAACTGTGGCCATACTTGATAGCATTTTTGTAGTACTTTATATTCTCTCCAATTCTAATCCAGCCAATTTTCTTTGTTGCTGCATCCAGTTCGGAGTAAAATAAAGGCCTCATTCCCTCATTATACAAGCTGCCAGACTAGGACAAATAAAATATATATTAATAATTAGTTGAGCCAATTCACGTTAGTTAAGTTTCATCGAATCAATACCAAAGTCTGTATTAAACACCACAGGCAAGAACATTTTCCAGAAATAACCTTGAATTGAGAATGATGAACGCTTAATCACTCATTTATCACACTGACACAGTAGTGCGAAAAGCAAGTGACCTGTCAGTGGCTGATTGGCGATATCTAACACAATTTATATTATAGCAAAATTTAACAGTGAAACTCAATGATAAATCACTTCCAATGGAAAACTGCTCAGACTATGAGAAAAAATAAAGAATTCTTTGATCTGCCCCTTACTTTAAGGAGGTTCATGATGGTGAACTTATACCGAACAGTTGGTCTTGTGTTCTGAACTCTGAAGTAATACCACTGTGTGTGTTTGTTGGTGTACAAATCATTTCTAAGCCACAACTGGTATTCAGCATCATTACTATGATGAAAAAGTAAAAAATTCAACTAGTAGATCAATAATAAACAAATACATTCAGCTGAATAAATTTAAATAATTCATTCTAATTATAAGTCTATTTCACTTACACTTTCAATGCCCTCAACAGATTTCCACATTCAAACCGAGATTCAAATAGTAAAGTAGAGTCCTCAGGAGACTTGAGCTTGTAAAAAGGTTTGTTAGAAATCTGGGTTCCACCTACACGTGACCTGAGAAACTAGAAATTAAATCCGCACCAAGAGACAGTCAAAGTGTGAACACTAAATGGAAATTTTATCAGCTTCAGAGTAAAAGAGCACAAGAGGATTAAGATTTCCTCAGAGATATTAATAACTTACATATTTTTCAGGTCCAGGTTCATTGTTATATACAACTTTACCACCTTCACAAGATAACTTTGTTAGACTTTCATCATCAGCTGTCTTCTCTGAAAAGTAAACAAAAGAAAACCTTTAAGTTCACTAGCAACTTACAGATTGAAGATTCTTAATTAATAACAATTAATAACAATAACACAAAACCTACAAGACTCCATCATGATGACAAATCAATAATTCCTGTTTGCCTAATGGCAGTTCTGTCAATCAACTAAACCCTTGGGAAAAGTTAACTTCAAGAATGTTTTTAATGTCAAGTTTTAAGATTCAGCTTTTAAGTATTTGCTCCCAACATGATAATTACAGCTGGAGGCCTCTGTGTAGCAAACAGCAATAATCTTCTAAACAAAAAGAAAAGTTTATAATAATAATTGTATCTTGTTATTTCTTGCTAATGAAGACAAATCCCTTTTTTAACTCGAAATAGTTTACATATATGATGACAAACCTGGCTTAATGAAAGGTTCTGAATTTCTTGGAATGTACTGTATGTGTTTGGGCCTTGTCGGCAAAATCTTCATCTGATATGGCCTGCCACAATAAACATTAATATATTATTATAGAACATTATGAGTTTCAAGGGACGTCAAAAGTTCAATTAATTGATGTGCATAAGTTTGAGTTGTGCTTAACTAGCAGATATAGTAAATATTTAAAAAATTATAGAACAATCATTTATAACCAGAGACAAAAAAATTATGTCTTAAACATGTTTGTGATTTTAAGTTATTTTTTTACAAAAAAGAGTTAGTGTGTAGAATGGTGTGTTGCTCAAACCATTTAGATTGCCACATTAGGGTATATATCTCACACCAATCAGTTTGCTGCATTATGGTATGTATCCTGCACCAATCAGATTGCTGCATTTGATAAGTGTAATTGTATAATTATAATATATAATTTTTTGGTTAAAAAATGTTTTTTCCACTCCTTTTCTCACAACGTACATGCCAAACAACTAACATTCCATCGCGTACTATGAAAACAATGTCCAAAGTCCAATCAGAACACACCCAATCATTGCACTACGTGAACATTAGGCAATTTTTCACATGCTTGAATTGTATTCCACCGATCAATTCCATTTTGCCACATTAGATTTTGCTCCACCACGTGTCATTTCCTGGTAAACAACCTGCATTTAATCACTTATTCTAACCACATTATCTAGCACCACAGAAAAAACTCACATAGAACTAAATGCTACTGATAGTGGCTTTTTCATGCAATTCTCCCATATTTTGACTTTTCCTACAAATGAAATTCACTTTTAGGTGCCTTGGACTTAACCACATCGTGTGTTGATTCTTGTAAACAAACTGCATTTTATCACATTTCACACTCAAGGGGCAAAGTCCAGATAGGCAACAACCAATCAAGGAGCCCTCTCAGAAATATTATCCTATTGTTTACAAGAATCAACACACGATGTGGTTAAGCTTGTTCAGTGTATCTTCACTTACAGATACAACAGAGTTTCAATTTGCTTTTAATGGTAAAATTATAGGTACGTGGAGTGATATGTTTGAGGGGACTAACTGTAGACTAATAATTATGATATTCTCTCTGTTAGAGGAACAGTTGTAAATGTAGGTTCTACTGAAACCACTATTTGGTTTTGTCATGCAACACACTCTCTCTCCAACCAGGAATAGAGGGCATTGTGTGACAAGACCAAACAACAGCTGTGAAGATTAGACAACAGTAAGCATGGCACCAATGCATTTTATTTTTGCTCAGAAGTATTTGGACAATAGAGACCACAAAATACACGTGTGAGTTTAGGTAAATTAGGTTTTTTTTCTTTCTCCTAAAGTGTGGTAAAATGACATTTTTGTCCCTTTGAAAATTATGAAAACATTTAGGAACACAAAGTATCCCATCTCAACCTATCCAGCCAAAAAAAATAACTCTTGCATGCTATGCATGCCTATTTTTTTTTTCCTTACCATCTTGGAGAGGCCTGCTGTCCTTTGTCTTTGCTGAATGCAAATAAATTTCTAGGTTCTCTAAGTTTTGGAACCTACAAGATTAATCATAATTTGCAATAAAGTTCAATTATAAAAACAAATATTCCACAAGCTAGGAAATCATTCTAAATACTGAATTATTATACTGTTCTAAGCTTAGTTCTGGTAATATCTTAAATGTACACTGCCAACATACACATTCACTGGCACCAGTAACTGACCTTTTTTCCTCCTTTGTAGCTAAAAACAAGCTGTGTTGATCTAGACTCCTTTTCAAACAGCTTTATGTCTGTGGGATAAAATTATATATTAAGCTCAAAATCATATGACAGGAATGGTGAACATAACATAGTTTGATTAATAATGGTAATGGGACTACAAGGAGTCCAATTCCATCTGTAATTATACAAGCAATTAAGGAACTCAGACGACCACAAAGCGGGAGTCCAATTTGTTAATCACAAGTATGAATACAGACTGAATTGGACAACACACAGTCCTGTTACTAATTAATCAAAACTATGACAAAATTTGAGAAAGAAACTAGACATTGGTTGTGCGTTTTTGTAAAAAAAAGAAACAGTTGACTGGATGAAATGTGAAACAACAGTGTGCACACATGAAGCATTCTGTCCACTTATACAGGCATGACATGTTAACTGTTCTTTTACTCTGTCCATTTACAAGCATGACACATACACTGTCCTATTCATACTCAAATTGGGCTGGTGATAACCAATCACGTTTGAGAATTTTCTTATAGTTTCTTATAGTTTCTTATAGTTACTGTAACAGCTTCTACATAATTACTGGCCATCATTCCTTAGAACAGGGTTCTATATTTTGCATTTCCTCACATAAGTACAGCACACATATACTAGCTGCACATTATTAGGACTGGTATAGGTGGTGAGGCAGAGGGGGTTATAGGAGCAGAAACTTTAATGCACTATAGCCTCCCTTGTTTGCAGTGCAGAAACTCTATCTCACTTGCACCAAAAAATATTTATTCAGCAATGAAAATATATCCAGTATCCTGATCATTTTCCAAATCATTTCACTGAGAACACACTTAGCAGAATTGGCTTGTAACAACACTTTTTTAACAGCTGCTCTCTTGTGTAGGTAAATGAAATTGGACCCCAGATTCTACCCCTGGGTAATTTTACTGTGTTTAATTAGGCAGAAGCCACTTAATAACTGTAAATGATTGTAGCAGCATATTGTCAAGAGAGCTCACAAAAGGCAAGAGTAATCTCCCAGGGGCTACCATCCTATCCCAGGCCAATCCAGGGGAAAGTAAGAATATAATTCCTTACCATTCCTACCACACTACAGAAACTAGTTTGCTTTGACAATTATGTGAGTCAGTCTTGTGTATAGACTTAATATTATCCATCTTCATTACAGTTTTATTCACAACCTAGCAATCTAGCAAGGGGCAAGTTATAAAGACTATTAAGAGCGAAAAAATTACTAAGAAAAAGCCCTATTTGAAGAAATTTAAAGTTAATCAAATTTTGAACTTTTGGATGACTGTGTACTTAACATGTAATAGTTACAACTAATTAATATTCTCTAATTATCGATGAAAACGTTTTTAAACCCTTCGAAGAAAAATCCTCTAACTTCATATAGGAAACAATGATAAATATCGAGATGAGTGAGAGCGGAGAATAATTGTTTTCAAACTTCCTGTGAGACAAGATGTTGTCTAATGCTAGCGTGCATGGGTATATAACCTTTCTATACAGTGACAAGATAAAAACAAACTACTAGATCTACATGAAATTTATTCCTTAACTCACCAGGAATAGAGAACGAGGGGACTGCTGAAGAAGGAGATAGTTTCAATGCCTCATTGTTGTCATCGCTTTGTGAGCTATCATGGACACCTTTATCTTTCATTTGGTTCTTGAGTTAATGAGCCCGCGACTTGTCACCCTTTCCACTTCAGTCAAAACAGTGACACAACTCTAGCAAATTGTCTTCAAACCTTTGAGATCATAACGTGAATGCCAGACAACATGTAGTCAACGAAGTTGACAGCATTTCCGTGTTTAAGGAATCTGCGTCAGGAAGAAAATACTTAAACAAATTTACATTAATCAAAAGTACTCGACGATCAATCACTTTTAAAACAATGGATGCTTTTACTTACTGTAACCACAAGGTGTATGTAATTACGAGTCTCAAACGATCATGACTGATTTTCGACGCAGTTCTCGTCTGGATTATTTTGATTGAAATGCAGCAGGTACATTCGCCCTTCTACGAGATACAGTTTGTCATCTTGACCTCTGTAGAACTATTTCTCTGAAAATTTTCAACAAAGTTTACAAGTACAGTTGACAACTCGATCAAATCGCCGCGGTGACCAACTTACTCGTACCAGGCTCCCCCCGTTTTATCTTTTAGGAATCTTGAGGTCCCGAGGGGAATGGCGGATTAAAATTATATAAATATATATTATAAAAGAAGATAAACAACGCGCTTTCAGCCATAATTGACAACTTCATGTTATCTTGCTCAAAAATACTACTCACTCTCATTTAGGGAGAGAAACATGGATTAAATTTACTTGAAAAATTGTTCTTAGTTTTGTTTGAATGGTTGGGAAGGAAGATGGGTACAAACAGGCCCTTAGGACTTAGTAAAGGATGACCACAACTGCTTGGTAGAGGTGAAAGTTAAAGTGATTAGGGGGAAACAAATGCAGGACTTTGACAACTGGCCACTTAATACAATGCCTCTTAATACAGGTTCAACTGTACTCACTGTTTCTCAAGAAGAATGGCTCAACCTTTTGAAGATAGGGCTCAATATTGAAATGCTAGCTAAGAATAATTCATGAATACAAGAGACCTTTAATTGCTGATAACATGCCTCCAACAAACTTCCCCACAAAGCCAGCTGTAGGAGACTCAGAGGTTTAATACAATGCCTCCTACTACAGGTTCAACTGTACTCGCTGTTTCTCAGGAAGAATCTCTCAACCCTTACCAGATGATCACAAAAAAATTTTAATTTATTAAAATTGTGATTTTGCATTAATATCAGTTTAACTAGAGTGTGCTGAGAGGTTTGTGGATGTTTAAGTAATTTAACCAAGTAGGAGTTGATTTGATTGATATGAAAGGATTTTTGGTCTTTCAACATGATTCTCTCTGAACCTATGGGAGACTGGTGATTTTACCCATAATTTACCATACAGACAGCCAACTAAAGAGAAGGAAGGATTTTAGCTGATAAAAGACATCTGTACCGTGAGGTTCAAACTAAGCCATCTTAGCACCAAAATATGCCATTCACCAGAATATAACTGCAAAAAAAAAAATTGAAACCAGTACCTGCACTACCATTTGTTGCATAACTCTTTGTCCTTGACAATATATTATCTTTGCTTTTCAAGCCTTTGGGTAATTAGAAGGAGGCATGACTTAAGTAATCAAATTTACAACTAGAATTAGAATATATGCTTTATCACTTCAGAAATCTACCACAACATTGTCAGGTTGTTGGTAATGAGCACTTTAAAAGAGTAACTTTCTCATAGTTCACATCTGATCGGCATCTTTCAAAGATTAAAGATTTCTGAGGGTATTATGACATTGAAAATGGGTATTGTTTTTTGGTTATTACTAATAACATTCATTGATATTATTAACCCATTGACCGCTAGGAGTGATGAGCATCTAATTTCTCCTCATAAAATCACCCGTAAACCACAATTAAGGTTACAAGAATAAAGGAAATGATCAGCAACTAAAAAAGTTCTTGACTGTTAAACAATTTCTTCCTTCTTGGCACTGTACATGTAAGAAATGTACAGAGAACAGTATGGAGAATATACTTACTGATGTGTAAAGGGTCAATATCATTCTTTATACAGTATGTCTTTCATTACCTAAATCCCATTCACATGAGAAAAGAACAATACTTGAGCATTAGGAGAAAACTTGCTAGTATTTTCAGCCTTAATTCAAATCATTTCTGAGTATTATTCATTGAAGAAAAATGTTTATAATAATGGTAGGCTTCTCATCATCTTCCTCTTTTTGTTGACGAGTGTTTCCTTTCAACTGCTGTTAAAAGTTCTTGATCTGGTGTTTCATATGCAAGAATAACAACTCCTTGCCTATTTACAGGAGTCATAACTTGTGGTTCTTGAAACAAGCAATGAGTTTTTTTAAGTTTCCTAAGTCTTTGAGATCTTCTACAAGGAAACTTGCTTTTCTCATTTGTATCCATGTTTCTCACATTCTTACATCCAAAATCCAATTCACCCAACAGATGTCCATTTGAAGCCAGTTGCTCAGTTGCCTGGGAATTTTCCTTTCCTTTCTTCCTTCCTCGAGACTTTTTGTTTGGTTTTAATAGAGCTAAAAGTTCCTCTTCATTTTCAATTCTATCAGGGAATTGAGGGGATACCTGCAAAGTAAAATTAAACAATTAATGAAGAAGTGAACAATTGCACTCTAACTTTCTTCTTAACTCTTGAGGAACAAAATCTAGAACATTCATTTTCAGAATAAAGGAAGTTTAGCTATGAACTGCGTGATCCTCTTTTGTAATCTATAATTGCTTACAAAGTTTCGATATATTTCCAACACTCTTTCATTTCCACATGCCTCGCTAATAAACTTGCATTGGGACGATTCTTCGTTTACGAAACTATTGTAAGCACTGGAATACGATTTACAGAAGCTTTAATCGTAATCAAGCAATTCGAATGAGCAGAAAGCCAAAACATAACCAGAAATTAGCACACCACAAAACATTTGTCAACGGTTAAAGAAAATCTTCTACCATTTATTACCCATTTCATTGATACTTGGTCATCAACGGGCATAGATGCCGCCAGAAATGGTCTCCTTGCAGCTTGAACAGGAGTGCAATAAAACTTTTGTCCATCTAGAGGACTTTCAATGAAATCTAAGGGTGGTTTGATACTACAAGTCGAATCCTTTCGTTTCTTTCTCCTTTTCCTTCCTTCTACCGCCATATTTTGAAAAAATTCCACCACATAAAAAATTACCGCTGCCCAAGAAGAATGATGGCTTGCAAACACAGCCTTATTCCCAAAGCGAAAGTAACAAAACATCACTTCCGGTCCATCTTTCTTCAATCAATATTTAACCATGTCCTTACTTCATTACATTACTTACAAGCTTGTTATAATCAGAGATCGAAGAATTGGCGTAATTTATTACGTCATCGCGATTGCAGTTATCCTCTACTCTTTAGCTGAAATATTTGTCAAGAAAGGGTATTTAGAGGTATGAAATAGTAACCTTATATTATACCAATTGAAAAACGATCAAACTTCAAAAGAAAAGCCTGCAAAGCAGCTGAACTCAAGTGAAAAGTGAAAAAAGGAACCTGGAACACCAACAAGACCCCAGAAGTTTTCCTTGACAAGTGTTTCTTTTTGATACTGTGGTAGACTGATTGCATGATCGGAGTGAAACGTTTATTAAATGTTAATGCTAAAAATAGGGAAAAAAAAGAGACCCCTCATCCCCCCACCTCCACTGTGCCTAACCTGAAATAATCCCATCCTAACCAGTCCTAAGACAGCAAATTTTTATCTAGCAACAGAATCCTATCATTTCATCAATTTATAACACCCTCTTTAATTTTTTATCATGTGATAAAATTTGAATATAAGTTTCTTTTTCATTGTTATCAGTTTGATACAGCACCTGACGCAACTATAAGATTTCTCCTATCAGATCCCAAGGAAGATAACGGAGTTGATCATGATAAATCAGCTCAGGTTGCAAACTTGAGCTACTGCTGTTACAATGGTAGGCTGTTTGTCAGTTTAGCATTGAATGCAAGGCCAGCCCAATTATACCAATACAGTCACTGTAATAAATTGTCAATTGATATAATGATATAAGTCATATAAAGCAATCAAATTGCAGCAGGGAATGGAATAATCCAAACAGTGTACCGTGTGCATGTGTATTTTAAGATATACGTAGTTGACCACTCCCTGGTAATGGGACTCCTTTAGGTCAGTACACAAGAATGAATGAATGAATAAACATAGTATTTAACCCTTTAACTCCCAAGATCTAATTGATTATTCTCCCCTCTATAGCTGCTACACATTTCCTTGTAAATAAGTTATGAGAATTTGGTGTTAGATCAAGAAAACAACTTTTACCTGACACATTTGAATGTTCTCATTACCTGTTTGCTGGATAGTGGATGGATATTGTATGGAGAAGTTACTTGTTAATCACTTCTGGGAGTAACAGGGTTAAAAATCACAAAGGGCAATTTGAACAATTTGAGGCCAACAGAGGACATGTCCTGTCGTGTATAGTAGGGTGGAGGAAACCACCAGATTACAAGCCTAGTAACCATTCTGCCACATTGCCTCTATACTCAGTCTTTGCAATGTTTTTGAAAAACCCTCATTTCAGGAAGGGTATCTCACTGACAACAGGAACATGATTCCTTCAAGGTATCAATATGCATAAGATTATAAACTAGGTATGTATAATACAATATGTTTTAAACATTAACCGAAGATGTCTGCACAAATCTTAAAGAAGAAACCACTTTAGCAAGTTTGTTTTACTGTTAACAGAAACTGCTTCAGAGTATTGTACACAATGCCAGGTAATGGACGCAAGGGAGTTATCTTGGCCCGTGGAGTCTCGCACAATTAGTTTGACAACATTTTCCAAGGATCGCTGGCAGACCAAAAACATGTCATCTGGCAAATTTGGGAAATTCGAAACCATCAGGTTTGTGCAGCTTTGAATTTAATTTCAGGTTTAGATTATTTAGAGTAGAGTGACAAGATAAGAGCCAAATGTGACAGGGGCTAGGAAATTTAAGAGGGGAATGAGAAAGAGGATGAAAGGCATGGGGGGAGGGTGGGAAAGTACAGGTGTAATGGGAAGTGGTATATGAGATGTGAAACAAATTGGAGTGATGAAGAGTAAGAGGAAAATGGTATAGGGTTGTCAAGACTATGGGTGACTGCATGAGTAACATTAACCCTTTATGCCCTAACATCAGTATGTATCTCCCCATCTTTCATCTTCTTCAGAATCGCTTTGATGTAAATTATTCCTGCACTTGGATGCAGGTTGTGCGATCCTCCCCCTGTCACCTATAGACTCTACTGTCTATCCTCTTAACCCCTTTAAACTCCCACTTTAAAGTGATTAACATGTAACTTCTCCCTATTGTATTTGTACATTATCCAGCTAACAGGTAGTGAGACTACTCAAACATATCAGGTACAAGATATTATCTTGATTGAACACCAAATTCTTGTAACCAATTCACAAGGAAATCTATAACAGCCAGAGGAGGGAATTAACAATCAGATCTTGGGAGTTAAAGGGTTAAATACCATGTTTGAGAATTTTTTTTCCTCTTTTTAACTCAATGATGGTGCTTTACATGGGTCCTTGTCTCTTGTTTGCACCAGCACCATTGGGTCCAGGACTTTTTTTTTGTCTGCTTTGCTCTCTCAAAAGCTGTTCTTGCTGTATCTTTTATTTTTCAATCGATATTGTATATTGTATTAGTACTGCATGAGTCATACCCAATAAAGCTGTTAAAAAAATAGTGACTCTGTCCAATATTCTGTATGGTACTACTGTCAAATTAGAGAAAATTCATCAAACAATCAGGGACTTCTTGAGCTTTCCATCATCTCTTTATTTTTATGACCCTAATCAATATTGATACAGTAAGAGAAAATTAGTAGCTAGTGACTCACAAGGTCAAACGGGATAAAAGGATTGGATTCAAAGCCACAGAATGCAGAATTAGAGGTTGTGGATATGAAAATGAGTGGGATGTGGAGGGAAAGAAAACCAAGGGTGTGATAAGGTGACGCTATAGGTGAGGACATGCAAACTCTAAGTCTCCTTTCACCTCACCCCCAATGGTATTTCAGTGATGGAATCCCCTCCCACCCCCACCCCCCATCAGACCTGTGGGTATTTTCAGAATGACAGAAGCATGCATTTATTACAACTCAACTTGATGCATATAAAATTTAGTTTTCTTGGAGAATTATCTTGGTTCACTTAGGCTCTAAAGTTAGGAAAGGCATTCTTTGTCTGAATCAAATTTTCAACCATGCCCTCCCCCCTCTCTCTTCATGAAAAAAATCCTGGATCTGCCCTTTCGTTACAAACTTTTCCTTCATACATAGCTCAGTAGAAATGGAAAATTTAAGGATTTCAATATCGAGGCTAAATCCAAGAGAAAAGTAATTATAACAACTGAAGTTAAATTGTTCATGCAGCAATGTAACTTATATGCATTTATTAAAACTTCCATTTAGAGAAAACCTATACTTCACAGTTCAACCAGAGAAGATGATGATAAAAATTGAACATGCAGTACTGGCTACAAAGTTTTTAACAGGTAAATTAGGAGGAAAAGACCTGGCAGCATCACAAAGAAACATGAAAGGATATCTGTATGGCCATAATGGAACACTTATAAAAAGGTACTCAGTATAATTAGGTAATAACATGATTTCAAGTGTAATTTGGTGTGGATAAGCACAAGTAAAATTTTCTAAGACAACAAAATTGCACCTGAGCCTGTAGGGCAAGTGCAGTATGTAGTTTTCAAAAAATTTACAAGTCCTTATTACACCAAATTGCAAGAGAAATCATGTTATTACTTGTTTAAAATGTGCATGAAAAAACATCACAGCAAGTCGATCAAGACACACAAAATTCTGAAAGCATGCATGCCCTATTTGTAATTTGCACTTGTGTTACAACTTCGCATGAGAATGCACTTGTTTTCAGTTAATCAGAGGTACATAATTTTTCATGTACATTATAAACCTATTTAAAGTAATTAGGTTCAAAGCTTCAAATAACTGAATATGATTTTTGAAATGGTTTCTAGTCAGTTGCATTCACAATGGATACACTGCTTTAGATCCCTTTGGGACAATTACCAGATGCTACTTCATGTGGCATTTAGTTATACTTTATTAGTACAGACTTTAAGGGTGGCAAAAGAAACGCTGCCTTTTAGCCTTATTGCCAGCCTCTGAATTATTTGAAAATATGCAAATAAGTAATTTTGAATTAGGATGCATAGTAATCAATAAAACTGAAAATTTAGAATTATATTGACTGAATGATCTAACTGAAAAGAAATTTTAGTTTTCCTGGGCCCAGTTGTTCAGAAGGCATTTGTAGTATGGTATCTCTGTGTGTTTTGTGTATGCATGTCACATGACTAGCACATGGAGAGAGATCCGCTCAGACCTCGTTCTGTTGACATTTATATCTGTCCTGTCCTGCTTCTTCCTATAATATTACAGCATTAGCAATATTCCAGGATTAAAGAAGTTTCCCTTGTTCCTGACTTCTCTCAAAATAATTTGTATAATTTAGGGCTTATGTTTTGAGGGGTTTATCGTAGCATACAAAACTGAAATAAAAAATAGAATAAATCAAAACTGTCTGCAATGCTAGAAAACTAAAGAAAAATTATTAGATAACCCTTAGTGAGCTTTATCATGTTTTAAACAACTCAGCCCTGCTCAATTTTTGGCAACCCTTTTAATTCCCAAAATCTGGTTGTTAATTCTCCCCACTAGCTGCTAGATAGTTCCTTGTAATAAGATACAAGAATTTGGTGTTAAATCGAGGTAACAACAGTACTTCTACCAGTTAAGTTTGAGTGTTCTCATTACTTGTTTGCTGGATAATGTATGGATCTTGTAGGGAGAAGTTACATACTAATCACTTAAGGATTGATAAGATGGCATCCCACTTAACAACCTGCAGATTGGTCTGTTTTTTTGTAATATTTTCAGTCTTTCATCCAACAAAGAGGATCGGATGAGAGGAAAGGCAGATAAGCTTACCGTCCAAGAAATCCTCCAAGCAGCTGGAGTTACAAGCCTGGATGAAACCTCAGATGCCCTCAATTCTAAAGGGAAGCCATTCCGAAGACATGGAATTGTCCTGCATATGGCCATCAATTATCAAAATGCCGAGTCGACTTGGCTTGGAACAGGGTAAGTAACACTTTCGAAATCATGAATTTCCTTATTGTAAGTCCTTTCTTTGCTTACATGTCGTTGGTCCCAATGAGGAGAGCATTAACTTCATTTTAACTGAGACCCCTTCTACCTAAGGAAAGTCCAGAAAATGTGAAAGTGTTTCCAAAAAGGAAGATTACCTTTAGATCCGAATAGAAGAGAAACAGTATCTTTTGTTAACAATTGTTATAAACTGATCTCTAAATTCATTTTCTTCTTCTTCTCTCCAAGAGCCGTTCCTGACTATTACCATTATTTGTAGGATGGGCTAAATTGTGCATGCATAATTTGAATGGTTCTTGCTGATGATCTAATTGTGAGGACAGACACATAGATGACCTCACCATTAACAATATTTTGCTTCGTAATCGTGTAAGACAAATATTACGGAAGAATTGCATGGCAATATGGAATCTTTATGTTAAGTAGAAATTATTTACTTTTCCTGCACCAAATCCTTGAAGCCTACTAAGCTCATAAATTACAATTAAAGCTTCCCAACTCAAACGATGATAAAAAAATTAATGGTGCAGATGATGATGCAGTGGGAAAGCCCTTCCCCTTAAAAATTGTCTCACAGGTATAATGTTTGGACCACTTCATATGTTGGTGGAGGTACTTGTGGGCTCTTGTTCTTGCTTCAAGACATTAAACTGTGTTAACAAATCTTTGTTCACTGTTGTTTTGTTAGAGATATAGAATATTCATACCAAGTGAGAAGAATCCCATATGCTGATTACCGAGTGAATGAAGTGATACCAGTCATAGATGCCATGGATTTTACAAACCCAAGTCTAGAACGTCATCAAGAAAATCGACTCTTCAGAAAACGTTATGGAATCAAAATAGAATTCCACCAAAGTGGTGTACTGGGTAAGTTTAAAATGAATTAGGTCGAGCAGAAATGTTGTTCCAACTATTAGAGTTCATCCAAAACAGACTAAACCATAAATAATAGATAAATTTAAACAAAATGTGGGTTTTGAATTATCTCAGATTTTGGGCTTTTTCCTCCTCCCAAACTTGGTTTACATCTCATATGTATTAACTATTAATTTTCTTTACTTAAATTTAAGACTCCCTTCCCTAGGCTAGCCCTAGCCTCAGAGTGACTAGCATGTAATTTGTCATTAAAAGATCACCCCTGAATCAAACATGAAGGTCACTTGAATGACAGAAATGACCAACAACTTCATCAACTGACAAAGCTCTTGATTGTTTGACAATTCTCATTGTCTATACCTTAGGTAATGTATGGGAAACAGTATATGGAGAATATACATGTTGATGTTGAGATGTAAAGGGTCAAACAAACAGTGAATGTATCTTTTCATGTATTTTTTTATTTTTTTTTTATTCTTTTCAGGTCATTTCTCTTTCTCAGCACTGTTAGGTCACCTTGCATCTGCAGTAAGTCTTCTAACCCTGTCAGCCACCATTGTAGATATTCTTATATTGTACATCCTGCCCAATAAATCAGAATACCGCAGCTTGGTATACAAACGTTTTCCATCTATAGAACAGTACGAAGAAAAGGAAAAGAATGAATAACAAATGTCCACCTGTTTTACCATTATTGAAGGCCTTTATAGAGCAATTTAAATCAAATTTCTTAGTAACAGAAGAATGTTTAAAATTAGAGATTCTTATAATATTACAAGTAACTTGCTAATGAGAATCATGTTGTAAAACTTGAAAAAATTGTTGTAGATTTATTTCAAAATAAAAGATACTAAAATTATTTGTTTTTAAAATTAATATTGTGTACTTCAAAAGTACTTTTTTTACACTCAGACAACTTCATTGTTTTTTTTTGTTTTCTTTTTTAACCCATGCATGTAAGGAACATATTCAGTAAACTTTGAGGAGCAAATTCCTAATTAACTTGCCTAGAGAATTTTTTCTCATCCTTTTATTAGTAAATTAATTAAAAATGATGACACAATAGTTGATTAGGGTCCAGGATTCGAAATCTTGAGATCCCTTATTAAAACCCTCAACTCAGCCACACAATTAGTTCTGCACTAAGCCTTTTGATTAGGCTTATGGTGTACTTTCCATCAAATATGGTTCTCAACTATTTGAATAAAAAAATGTTCCCAATTACAGGTATTCTATTTGTCAACAAATATAGTATACACTAATGCCAACTTAGCAAAAAGAGTCAAAATACATCATCACTTACATTAAGTAACATTATTTTTAATTCTATGATATTAGCACCAGACTGTCCTTACATGTAGCAATATAGTAACTCCCACAGTTTGGATTTCTACTAAGAAATCTCAGAAAGAAAAAGATGAAAACTGAAGACCAGAAATATTGGTATGTTTGAAGATGAGCTCCCCCAAAAAACTGTTGTCATCTGTTGGCTGTTTGTCAGCAGACATTGTAGCCTCTAGATTTATTATTTAATTATTTATTGTGTAATACTACAAAAATAGTTCTCATGGAAGCTTCTGGAATGTTCCAGAACACTTTGCAAATATATATAACTATATATAAAGACTTACTTATACAGTAGTAGAAGAACTTGTTGTAGTCAGAGCAATGAATGTTTTGAAAGCTGAACCAAGAGGGTCACTGCAGAAGGCCACCTATTTCAAGGAACTTTGGAGACAGCAGTGAGATTGTGTTAGTGGTGAGCTTGGATATAGTCTGTGATGGACTTTATTAAGTTTATTTACGACAAGTATTGCACTCCTTTAAGGAGTCACTCCTCGTTTAGAACATTACTTGCTGTTTAATAAAGTAGTTGAGTTTGTGAGACTGTAGAATTTTTCTGTCTGTTAGATTATACCAGAACAGTACAGACAATCAGTCAACAGTCAGTTGAGGGAGTTCTGCTTTAGGTACCATCTGTAATTATCTTACGTTAAGAGAAAGAAAGCCAATCAGAAGTCAATATCAGTTAGCCCGTAGGCAGGCCCTTCTTTCAAGCACCTCGGTACAAGCATTTCTTTGCCTGCAGGAAATACAAGGCTGTGAATAATGCAAGTGGAGAAACGTGCATCCTGCAGCACTATTAATAACGGCCTGTTCCAAGGCTATTAACCAGTTTGCTCTTTTGTCAAACTGATATTTCAGGTGTTCATGGTTTTCTTAGAAATAAGGAACTACCTGATCAGTAAAGTTACAATAAAAAATGATTATGTTAGTTTCTTTAGGGAAGGATGAGGCCAAGTGAGTGTGATCAAAATGTTACAGAAGAATAATAAAAGGTTATTCCAGACCACTTTGCAGAAAAAGTATAGATGACTTTATTCATGTATATAATCAGAAAAATCACAACTTTAATGAAATAGATTCGATCAAAAGGTTGTGCATTTCTAACCACTCATCCAGTCAAATGTTAACAGGAATATGTTTGTATTAAAAACATAAGCTAGTATTATTGGTTATTACAGACCCTCTTTTCATAATTTCTTATGAACCTTTTCCATTATATCCATGTGCATTTGAAATGAAGTAAAACTGTTTGTCTCACAAAGTAGCCACCTCTAATGTGGATTGCAATGCAGAGCTAGGAAGTGTGTGTCACCTCCAATGTGGAGCTGAGAAGCATGTGTCATCTCCAATGTGGAGCTGAGAAGCATGTGTCATCTCCAGAGTGAATCACAACATGGATTGGAGAAGTGTATGTAGCCTCCAATGTGGATTCAGTATTGAGAAACAACCACATCTTGTGACAAACAATTACACCTCATTTCAAGTCAATTCACCACAATTCACCACAGTATTAACTGCAACTTTTCTTTACAATAATTATTTAACAACTGCATTTGTTTAAATAAAATGCTGAAGACAGCAGGTTTGACTAGTCATTTTAAGTAGTTGGCGCAAAAAGCCTATTTCAAAAATGAAGTTCTAAATAATTATCTAATCATGTTTGAGTGGGATTTTATTTTCATGTCTCAATGTAGCATACATGTTGACTAAGAGTTGTTGTCTACCCATGATTTATGTGCTGCAAAACATATCTTATGAAGGCCCAGCAGATGATGAAAACGCATGTAGATTTCCCATCTGACTAAGACCAGACTGGATGTGAGCTACATGGATCTCTACATTGTTCTGAAAACAGCTGCAGTAAAAAAAAAAACAACAAAAACAACAATCAGCTTTAATTTCAACTCAATCTTCAGTAAAAAAACAACAGTGATACAACTCCTCTTAAGGTAGAGTTACCTGAAGGAAGGATTTAGATGTTATGAAAATAGTTGACCATAAGATCATTCAACAACCACCTACCCTTGATTTTAATATACTGTGACAAATGAAAAAAAGTAGTATTGCTTTAACACAGATTCTTCTTATTGTTGTACAGTGTTTCTTAGCCTCTCCCCCTATTTCTTGACTCTGTTTTTTTCTGCTGTATCACTCAGGCATGTACACCATGAAATAGACTCTGCAACTGCCAAGTCTTGGCACTGCTCACTAGACATCATCAGTTTGGACTCAAAATACTCTTATGCTAACTACTGCAGCTGTTTCATATCAAAATACTTACCTAATGTTTGAGGGGTCTATAGTTTTCTTGATTTCATCCACTGCATCAGATAAAGATTTGAACTCAAAGGTATTGAGATCATTCTCTGCTAAAGACTGAAAATATCAATGGAGAAAGGATGAGTTATGTGATAATTTGCTTTCAGGCAATCTGTACTCCCTGGATTTTTTGGACAGGGAATTGTGAAGTACATATATCCTTAAAGAAGCCAATTTGAAGCTGTCATCTTTGTGTACTACAGGTACTACCATTATCACTACCACCTCAACTTCTGCTGCCACCAATACTACCATGGACTACTGTCAATGGTAACCACTGCTGTGACTACTATCTCTACTATAACCACTGCCATTATTACTGCCACTGCTGTTCCCACTGCTACCACTACTGCTGCTTGTATGAGTCTAAATTTTGTAGCTGCTTAATTACCTTAATTTGAAGCATGAGAGAAGTTAAATTACTGACAATCTGCACCAAAGGCTGACTTGTGAGAGCATTTCTGAAAAATAACCAGTCCATTAATGGCAGTGATTTTTCGCACACATTACACAAAAACAGTTACAGAGCTCAAGCTTTAACACACAAATGCAATCATTCTCATGGTAAATGGTTTATGCCCAGTAGAAACATGCAGTGTGAAGGTCCTCTGTAGTAGGTATGAAAAAGAGTTTCCAAGGTGACAGTCACTGGCATTTTCAATAACCTAAAGGAAGTCATCATCAGAGCTGGGTGTTTATACCTTTAGTCTGTGATCAAGTTTGTTCAAAAGCAAATGACATTTGATTGACACTGGAAAAAAGACAGACTTCATATCTAAAAGGTCATGTGATGAGTCATGAGACAATGAGATTTTAACGATTTTAAGGCTGGTTTTTGAAAGCTCACATTTATTTAGATTTGGTTGAGGATAACAAAAGATTTAGAAAAACATTTTATAACAAAAAGTAGCAAGATTAAAACATGACATGTTGGCAACAACATGTCACTATTATCAAATGTAGAATTATTAAAAGTTCTGGGACATTATCTAAAGAATGGAAACTATGAAACTAGCAGTAAATTAGAATAAAAAGGAGATAGAGTTAAACGACAGAATGTACATAATCAAATGAACAGTTTCGCTGGAATGGAGTCTTCTTGAGTATTCAGAGTCGATCTCTATTTCCTTATTAGAAGCATCTCTTTTGCTTAACTCCATCTCATTTTTATTCTTATTCCTTTCTTTATGCAACGTCCCTGAACTTACAATGCATAACAATTTTACATTTGATAGTGGTGGCATGTCATCGCCAAAACGTCATGTTTTAATCTTGCTACTTTTTATTATGAAATGGTTGAGAATGGACAGTTTTTTAAAACTGTCCATTCTCAATGCTGTTTATGGACAGAGCTTGCTTTCATGTTGAGCATCAGGCTGATGCAATTGATTCCCTATATCTCCTTCCCTGAGGTGGGTTGTGCATTTTGCTATTTTGGGGGACTCTGCAACTAGACTACTTTGAGTATAGGCTCTAATTAGTGCTGTGGTATTACTAGAAGCAGCACAGCAGTGAGACACAATTCTGTCTGTCCAAATGAGACTTTTTTTGTAGCTCCAACCACAGTACCTTTGAGAACCTGACCACAAACTACAGGTAGTAGTTACTTTCTTAGTACTATGTTGCAGAATTTGATACATACAGGCCCATGTTTGCATTATTGTCTTCCACTACTCTGGCAGCCTCTTCATCACATCTTCTTTTAACACTGATGGAAGGATCCATCGATTGAACTCCTTGTTCAGGGGCCAGCTGATTAGAAAACAAAACCCAAATAAGCATATCACTTCATTATGCCAGCCTCTTAATTTGGAGTAAAGCTGATTGATTTTACAGGGCATATATGTGGAAATGGATTGGTTTTCTGCTGTTGGTAATAACATTTTTTAAGTTGTTCAATCAGTACTTTAGGTCATTTGTCAGTTAATGAACCCCAAGATTGAATAAGAATTTCTCCCTACTGACTACCACACAGTTCCTAGTAATTATTAGACAGGAATTTGGTATTATAACAACATGATACCCCCTTGATGATAAGCTTGTCTATTCTCCCTTTTCATTTACCAGATAACATATTAAAATCACGAGGAGAAGTTACAACTTAATCACTTCTAAGAGGTTTAAGGGTTGAGCAATTACACAGGAAAAAAATGTTCACACCTCTTGACAATACTCCTGAACACCTGTTAAATACTCATTGAGATCCTGCAACAGATGGCACAAATCATAAACATTTATAATACAAAATGTGTTCTATCTTAGAAGACAAAAACAAATAAAAACACCAAAATTCACCTTGTTAAGCCGCTCTAACTCCAATACAACAGAGGCATAGCGCCTCTGGAACTCCTTATCAATGGGCTCCTGATAGGATTTCTGTCAAGTGAGTAAAGAAAAATGGATTAAAATTACAATTGATAATTGGATTGCCAATAAAGATACCAGTCATTAGTTACAATTACAGTGATCATGAGAGTGATAATGACACAGACTAATGTGACAATTAAAGTGGCAATGATTATGGTAATGTTTACAATAATGCTCATTGTTTTTTGTAGTAACTTAATACTGTAACTTCCAAGATCTGATTCTCCCTTCTAGCTGGTAATGGATCAAGATGACTGAATGCTAGGTGCCATAGATATGTAATTTACATTAAAATGTTCTTGCTGGTCAATACTTAAAAAGGTTGGTCTTTGATAATGGTTAATTTTGGTTGACCAGGAAGAATTTGGTGTTTAAGAAATGTAGTTCATGTCATAAAATTCACTCCTACACTTTAACCCTTTAACTCCCAAGATGTGGTAGCTAATTCTCCTCTCTACCTGCTACACATTACCTTTAAAATTGATAACCAGAATTTACTTTCAGATCAGATTAAAAATTTCTTCCAAATAAATTTAAGTATTCTCATTACCCGTTTCCTGGATAATGTATGAATAATTATCATAGGGAGAAGTTACATGTTTATCACTTCTGGGAGTTGAAAGGTAGACTCATTCAAAAGGGTTACAATCTCCATCAAGCTAATTGCAAAAACAGTCCTTTGAAGTTACTTTGTAATTGGTACAGGACATCACACAAGTTTGATTGTAAATTTACAGCATTGAACTCTCACCATCTTCTGAGCTTGTGTGTTCATTTCTCGTAACTTTTCAATGCATTCTTTCTTGACAAGTAAGATCTTTGATAATCTTGTCTACAAAAAAAAAATATCTCTCTAAAATAAATACTCACAAATACTGACATCTTTGAATGCTCACATACATCATAGTAAGTGTCAAGGTTTGGTTAGCCTACGTATTTCACTGAATCATGAAAAACATACCACAAGGATGAGAAACCTGATTGGAAAACCACCAAGAGTGCCACCTTAAGAAAAATGATATAAAAATATTATGTTCAACTTCAGTTAATTTTCATGAAAAATGTGTTTCAACTTCATTAAGTTAAAAAAAAAAAGAAATATCAGTTAGAGTAGAACGCATTTCTATGGAAAAAAAATTAAATGCTTTGGAGAAAATGAATGTTCATCATTATCACAACTTTTTCTTTTAACACTACCAGTCTTCTGTAAGGCCTGTGAGGATTTGAAACCTCTTAACATGAACCAAACAAGTTTAGAATTTATTTATCCTTGTTTTAGTTCATAAATAAAAGCCTGAAAGGTTTATTTGGATCCAACATAATGACCACCTCCTAGTCGGCTTGTTAGCTCAGTCAGTAGAGCGCTGCACCGGTATCACAGAGGTCATGGGTTCAAATCCCATACAGGCCTGAATCTTTTTCAGGCCTTATTTCAGCAACTAGACAAGTATAGTAGTGTTCATAACTGCAAGGATCACTTCTGTATTCATCTCATTTCTCCTTACCATAACACCCCTTAATTACACATTTAGGTCACAAGAATGAAGGAAATGATCACTAACTAAACAAGCTCTTAATTGTTAAACAAACTCCCCTTGTTGGTACCTTACAAAATGTATAGAGAACAGTATGGAGAATATTGATATCAATTTTAGGGTGTAGAGGTTTAACTATCAAGGAGGTAAGAGCACTTTGACAATGGAAGATCACACAACATTGCCAATGGCACTGCCTTCCAATTTGTTCTCAATTACCTTGTCCTTGTTGAGAGATTGCATCTTGAAGTCGTAACCTTACAAAGTAATAAAACATTATTATATTTATTTATAGCACGATTTTACTTTAAATAACCATAAGTATAAAAAATTCCTACATCCCCAAAACCTTGGTTTTAAAATGATGGTAAGTGCAAGACTTCTACTGTGAACATGATTATTTAGTACTCTTATGCATTCTATTTTTTTTTTTAACAATAGGGTTTTGCACTGGTGGCTTCTTTTGCAATTGAGAAATTCCCAACTCAGAAATAGCCTATTGCTCACAAGAAAAATTGAAGTACTTGTTGAAGTTATTAATTACCACTGCAGGTGTGACTTGGAAAATTTCAAATTGGTAACAGTTCTAAGGAGCAACATTGTTGGTTTGCACAGTTTTATAAAAAAAAAAAATAACCTTAACTTTACAGGTCTGTCACCATCAATCCATTTCTATCCTCTTTAATCATAGCAATCCCTGTTCTGTGATCATTGAATATTGTAGTCCCCTTCAAGTTCAAGGTGGTTTTAAACAACATTGAACACTTAAAACAAAATGACATTGATGCAACAGAGAGATAAACAACTGTTACCTTCCAGGTGATGCTCCTATAAGAGGATCATGAACCTATGGAAAGATGTAATGGATAGGAAAGTAAAATTTACTAAAAGTGTCTGGTGAAACTTTGGCATCTTGAATTCAATTTAAGACAATGCTGGGATTTTCTTACCATATTTGGGCTATTCAAGTCACTACCAGCAGGAAGAAGCCTAGAAGAAACCAAGATTCCATCAGCATTATGAAAATCATGAAAATTTTACAAATGAAAGTGTGATAACAATAGATTAACTCTTTAACCCTTCAGCTCCCACAAGTGATTAACATGAAACTTCTCTTTATAATATCCTCACATTATCCAGCAAACAGGTTACAAGAATACTCAAACTTATCAGGTAGAAGTTGTCAACTAGATCTAACACCAAATTCTCATAACTAATTTACAAGGAAATGTGTGACAGCTAGAGAGAGAATTAACATCAAAATCTTGGGAATTACAGGGTTAACTCACAGAAGCGATTACTATGTAACTTCTTCCTATAGTTTCCATACATTATTCAGCAAACAGGTAGTGAGAATACTCAAACTTATCAGGTACAATTGGAGGGCTCAGAGCAAGAACGATCCCTTGATTTTTCGGCCATTTTTGAAAGTGTTCAGAAGTAGTTGAATTTTGGCATGTGGACACTTTCAAAAATGGCCGAAAAATCAAGGGATCGTTCTTGCTCTGAGCCCTCCAATTTATAACCTTGATTGAAAACCAAAATTCTTTTAATCAATTTACAAGGAAATGTGTAGTAGCTGGAGGGGAGAATTGACAATCAAGTCTTGTGAGTTAATGGATTAAGAAGCTTGTATTACCTTGGTGGTGTATATGCAGGAGTGAATGCTGCTGTTCTTGGCCGTTCTTTTTGAAGAAATGATGATATGGGCATGGTGTCATGTGGCTCTTCACTCTGAAAATGGCATTGATCAGTATTAAGACAGTGAATAAATGAAATTGCAGAAAAAGAAGTGAATATGAAAGCAATCTTCACTTCTTTCTCCCCAGTTCACATTTATGATTTTCAGATATTCATAGTATTATTCATCACTTCAAGGGATTACTCAGAACCAACATAATGACCAGCTCCCAGTTGGTTTGTTAGCTGGCCTTATTTTCATTACTGCATAATTAAGTAACTGCTCATTATTGCAAAGATCACTTTCACATTCACTGATCAGTATTAACAAGCTTCATTCCACCTTTTTTATTATTATTATTATTATTATTCATTTTAATTCAAACAGAAAAAAAAATTCTGTTAGGGTAAGAAAAGAAGAGGAAAAGATAATTACATACCAAGACTTCAAGATCAAGAACTGAATGTGTTCCAAGGCCTGCAGGAATAAATAATGCAACTCAGAAAAAATGCAATAAAGCTATTAGAAATATTGACCACTACAAGTTGAAATTTTATTGCAAAACTATTTCAAGCTTTTGTTGTGCTTTACTATATTGCACATTCAACTGGCCCCCAATAAAAGTTACTCTTTTTCGCATGAAAACTTATCATTATTATAACAATTAACAATTATTCACCAAAGTGGAGGTGAAAAGTGGTGGATGTTTACCGAGCCATGAAGCAGCAAGGTATAAATCCACCACTTTCAATGAGACTGAGGTAAATAATTGTTTTAGTATAAAGCATACAGATATCAAATGATTAGTTTATTTCTTTCAATATACAGTTACTGTACTAAAAATGGTTGGAAATTAAACTCTTGACATGCAATTTTGTCTCATCAGCTGCTTGGAGGTGAATAGTTCTTACTTTTCATTTTCACACTAGCCAGTCAGCATGCGTGAAAAGCACTATTCACTCCTGTGGTATATACTAATTATCAATATCATTATTGTTGTTATTATCATCATTATCAGTATTATTTACACGTACATGAATTTTATAACTGCATAGACAATGTACCACCATAAAAATGTGAAACATAAAGCTTCGTACAACTGCTATATTTAACAGGCTCTGGATACAAACCTGGGCGATCAAAAGTAACTCTGTAAGAGCAGTTCACAGTATCAACTGCATCTATCTGACCGGTAAAAAGGCCATCATGAGGCCCACGCAGGCGGGCTAGAGTGAAAGGAAGATTAAAAGTGACCCTCTTACTTCAGAAGTGGTTATCAGTGGTCTGATCATCAAAATTTTAACACATTATTGAATAAACACTAGGGTGGTCGTAATTAGGCTGAAAATTCTGCAAAGTAGTACAGAATTCTACAATCTCTAAAGCTGGGTTAAGGACAGAAAGAATGGTACCTAGAAAAACAAGCTACCTTACTAACAGGAAGTGGACTACATAGAAACATTTTGGAAAAGTGTGACAGTCTCAATATTATATGAGGCTACAAGTAGAGGTGAACATTAAGAAAACATAAGTTGGCCTGGTAATCCTTGTAATTTCATTCCTTGTTGCCATACCCACCTATCCTTAACTTTTTAACTCCCAGGATCTCATTAGTAATTCTCTTTAATGTCTGCCATACAGTTCTTGTGATGTTAGTTTAGAGAATTTGGTATTGGATCAACTTATAATTCCCTAACTGATATTTTTCTCTATTCTCATCACTAGTCTGCTTGATATTATATTGATATTGGAAGGAGCAATTCTTGGTCACTTATGGGAGTTATAGGGTTAACATTTTTACACCCCAATCACAGAGTGATTCATGAATATTAACACAAAATGGCAAATGAGGATTTAAAGTTCAACCTTTGGAGAAAATACATAAAAAGGCTGAAAGGTTGGGCAGCATCCCTAAAATGTCAAAAGGGTAAAAAATGTATGCTTATAATAATCTAAAAACCAACCTGTAACCTTTGTCCCAATAACCAAAGGTAATGGAACCTCATCGGGTAAATCCTTGAACCTGCTAAGTTCAGTAACCTGTTGATAAACATAAAGATAAAAATGTTTTTGACACCACTAAAAACTTACTGACTGTATATAACAAGTAAAAAAGAACCACAAAAGAAATAGTCTAAAAAGATAATAAACAGTCTAGAATGAAAAAGAACTGAAGACTGGCCTTTCGTTGCTGAAGCATGCGAATCTTTCGTCTCTTCTCTTCCAAGGCTTGCCGCTCTTCCAAGAAAAATGCTGGAGAACATCTAAAGTGTACAACCAATGAAACAACTTTTAATCACCATAGTTGGCATCTACCAAGAGTGTAGCTAGCAGTGGTCCTGGATTGGGGAGGGGGGAAGGGAGGGGGGAAGGGAGGGGGTGTCAGTAACCCCTCCCCCCCTTTTGTAGGCATTTTTTGTCACTTTGAGTAAAACATGGCATGGAGGTCAACATGACAATCTGAAGAGTACCTTCTGTTCAACAGAGTGTAACCCCCCTTTGAAAAATTCTGGCTATGCCCCTGTCTCATACAATATTGTAAAAATTATCTCAGATTCTACCTTGAAATAAATGAACAAAAAAAAACAAAATAAATGGTAATCATTTTTGTGACTTTTTGTGACCAGACTTCACCATTCACTTACCTCCTTGGTTTACCCATTAGTCTTCTAACTTCCCTCCACTCAACACGACGTAATTTGCGAGTCTATCAACAAAACAAAGTCACTAATGATGGCATCTTACCACAAAGTAGCACAAAATCTTTTATATTTTTCTTCACCATTCCTGTTTTAGACTTAACCCTTTAACTCCCATATGCGATTCAAATGTAACTTCTCTCTATAATATCCACACATAATCCACCAAACAGGTAATGAGAATACTGAAACCTATCAGGTAGAAGTTTTTATCTAGATCTGAAACTAAATTCTCATCATCAATTTTCAAGATAATGTGTAGCAGGTAGAAAGAAGAAGTAATGAAAATTTCATATCTATGGCACCTGGCATTCAGTTACAGACCAACTACAAGGGAAAAACCACTGCAAAACTTAGAGATATCTGCAAGTTGTTTGCTAATTTGTGATCTCTGCAAGCAACATTTTCATGGATTGCAATAAACTCCAAACAAAAGACTGGTAAAGGAACAAAAGCAGAAGACAAAATGTCTGGATAAGCAACAAATAAATAAGTAACATTCATGCTGACAGCATCTACCTTTAAATTTGGAAATGATTCCCTCAGGCAAACATCAAAGTCGTTGTCACCTTGAAATAACACTCTAGAATAAAAACAAAATCAAAGTCATACATTTGATGATTTTTAAAAATTAACAAAGTTTCAAATAAAAGTGCTTCTATCCATTACCTGTCTAAGCTGGAGTAGAACCATTCAAAATAACACCATCTTGCTGCTTTGGGTAACTTCAAAAGGTTCTGCAGCTTAGCAAAGGAAGCCTAGAGATACCAATTCACAACATTATACATCAATCGATTTGAAGCTTCAACATCCCCCCTCCTGCCAATTCAAAGGCATTTGACTGTTTTCCTGGCATTGGGGGTGGGGAATTTAACCCTTTAATTCCCTGAGGTGATTAACAACTAACTTCTCTCTATAATATCCATACAGTATCCAACAAAAAGGTTATGAGAATACTCAAACTTATCAGGTAGAAGTTGTTATCTTGATCTAACACCAAATTCTCGTAACTAATTTCAAGGGAAATATTTAGTAGCTGGAAGGGAGAATTGACAATTAGGTCATGGGAGTTAAAGGGTTAAACCAGCAAAATACACACATTTTAATTTTAAATAAGAAGGAGTTAAAAGGCAAAGAGTTCACTTTCATGAGCAAATAGCTCAAAAGAAAATTTTCACATTTTAGAATGATGCTTACAAGTGAAAAACATAGTGGCACCTAAGACTAATACATGACTTTGCTAAATTCTACAACAATCGTTGACCACACACAGAATTATTTAATAAACAATTCTGTAAGTGTGTGGCAAGGGGCAGGAGTTTGAACAAGCCAATCCTCAAAAGGAAACAAAAAACAAGCCAAAAAAAGCAATAAAATGCATCGCCAAAAGGTCAGGCCAAAACCAGCACACCACAAGTTGCTGACTACAGTAATTTGCTCAATTCCACTCTGTTGTTATAAGAGTACATAAATTGAAATTATTTAGTACTTATGCCACTTTCCATTGCAGAGACAAAGATTTTCAAATACATTCTTAACATCAAGGCAAAGTGTTGATCACACTTTCTCCTCTGTTTTGTTGCCTTAGAACAAGACCAGCAGTAAAATCAATAACTTTACAAAACTATGTTAACCGTACCTTGGCAAGCTTCTTGTCTGTACTTCCATTGCCAAATAACTAAACAATCAAAAATAGGGCAACTATGACATATCATACACTGCGAATTGAAACATTTAAAATTTCCGATAGTTCTAGACACTATCCTAAATGCTTATTGTTTTGTTATTGTAGGAAAAATTTTGATCATATACTCATGTACACATAATTACTTACCAGAGAAGCTGCTTTTGTCATTCTCCTGTAAGAAAGCAGACATTCTCCAGTAAATAAGTTAGTTCAAAGTAGAAACAATTATTCCAACACAACAAGCAGGGGTTTTATTGATGCTTAAAGCAGGAGGACAGCTGGATTTTACAAAGACTCTTGTCCCTCCTCCTTGCCCCTGCTAGGTGGGGTCCAGAGGAGTGCTTTCTCCCTTCTCCCCCCCCCCCCCCCCCCTCCAGCTCCCTTTTGGTGGTCCAGAGAAGAGCTTTTTCCCACCACTCCCCTTTGGTGGTCCAAAGTGGTGCTTTTCCCCTCCAAAGGAGTGCTTTCCCAGAAAATAGCAAACACAAACTATCATATATTAAATCTCTTCCTGTCTTCAGTTATAACTAAGGTTTCTTCAATCCAATTTCAACCAGATATAGGGAACTATTAAGAAACATAAACAAACCTAGTTCTTGGGGAGGAAAGTGAGTATTCCTGAAAAAAAAAATCTGAAAGTTAGAAAGTCCAGAAAGATAACATACTAAAGAAAATGCAGAAAATTAAGTATAGTGTATCCTGTTACTAACACACTACATCTGTAAGATATGTAACAACGTCAGCGGCTGCACCTCATGTGCCACTTTTTTTGTTCTTACCACATTTTGATGTTATCTGTGATCCTTTACTGAAACAGACTCAGCAACATGAAATCTATTTGTTAGTTAGAAAACACTAAAATCACTGGGACAATTTGTCACAAAGGTTCTGAATTACCCCTTCATCTGTGCCTCTGTCTAAGTCAGAATCTTCTACACTATCATCAGTCTGTCGAGTTCTTTTCTTGGACCGTGGCTATGAAGGTAAAAGAATTAATGATAATCATTGAGGTTTATTGACAAGAGAGAAGTTGAACACATACCTAAAAAGTTTCAAAGCTTCCTGACAATAATAGAATCAAACCCCTCATACATGTACTTTTTAAAGACATGTTTTAGCATAACTCATGCCATCAGGTTGATGTGTTATATCCATTTACTTTGTTTTAAAAGTTTTCATTGAAATCATGCTATCAACTTAAATCAAAAGACAACTTTGCAATTACAGTACCATCATGATATTTTAAATAGAACTGCACTTGCAAGTGTAACATTTGGAAGGTTAATCTATCCAAATAAATAATTAAAGTTATGGTGCATCTGTGCATTCAGTTCAGGCTACAAGCAGCCAATGTACATCTACAATATCTCCTTTAAGTTAACCCTTTAATTCCCATAGGTGACCAAGACAGAATTTCTCCTTACAATATCAATACAATATCAACCAGATAAGTGATGAGAATAAAGAAAAATATCAATTTGGGGATCAATTTTTAGTTGATCCAACACTAAATTCTCTGAACTAATATTATAAGAATTATATGGTTGACAGTAAGGAGAATGACAAATTTGATCTGGGAGTTAAAGGGTTAAGGCAATAAGCAGTTATGGCTGAGCTTGCAAAAAATAGACATTTTCTTGTCATTATGAAAGCTTTGATGAAAGAAAATCACCCATCAGTGCTCACCAACAGCTGTAAAACTAAAAACAAAACCCTACATAACTATAAAATGTAATAAAAACAATGCATGTGTAATTTTCACACTAAATACACATTAAGAGTACAAACCGGAGTGCTACGTTTTGCCGGCGAGCTGAATGGAGATCCAATACCTGCATAAAAACACATTCTGTCAGTCTTCTTTTACAAAAATTTTCAATTCTGTGTAAAGTAAGATATCATTAAAATGAAAAAGTACCTATAAAGTTAAAAATAAAAGAACAGACAATAGAATAACACAATAATTATTGTAAACATTGTCTCTGACTAGAAAAGTACCCTAAGGCTTGCATTTTGCTGGAGAATAAACCTTTCCACAACCAAGATCTCAAAGTCGATTCTTCTCACTATATATATATATATATATATATATATATAATAGGAAGTCTGCAAGTCGATTTTCGCGTGGAACAGTGCTCAATACGTTGAAGCAGAGCAGAATAAATATCATGAGAGGAAAAAAGGACGCAACTACATTTCCCGACAAGCCTGTTTCGTGAATCGCTTCACTCTATCACATTAAACCCCTGAAGAGTGAAGCGATTCACGAAACAGGCTTGTCAGGAAATGTAGTTGCGTCCTTTTTTCTTCTCATAATATTTATATATATATAATATATATATATATATATATCTATCATACATTTCTTACTATGTTAACTATAGGAATTTGGCAGTAGATCAGACTACATTCCCTAAACAGAAATTAAATGTAAATAGTGACAGGAGAAATAACATTTTGGTCACTCTTAGAGATGAAAAGGTTAACCAGCATAACACAATCAAACAGATGAAATGTTACTGAAGAAAACTTCTAAAAATCAGGCAATAAGCCAACATGCCAGCTACAGAGAAACAAAATAATTGATTTCAAACAAACAGAAAAATATAAATCAGGAAAAACACAAATACCAATTAGTTTTTCATTCATTTATCTATTTTAACTGTTTACACACTTGCATCAGTGTGTATATTCTCCGCACTGTTCTTAAAGTACATTTCTTAAGGTGCATTTCATAAGGTGCTGACAAAGATAATTTTTTTAACAATAAAGAGCTATTTTTAATCAGTTGGTGATCATTTTCTTTATTCTTGTGGCCTTAATGTGTAATTCAGAGGTTATCTTGTGAGGAGAAATTTGATGCTAGTCACTCTTACAGTTCAAAGGGTGAGGCAATGCAGATTAATATTCTAGTTTCATGATATCTATTGGAGTCATTACCTCGTAGGCTCACCAAGGCTTCTGCAGATGTCTCTAAAATAAAAAAAACACAGATAAAGAAATATTCGTTGCAATATAAACGACCTTCTTTCTTGGGGAAAAATTCTCCTTTCAGCTGGTAAGACAATTGCAATATAATGCTGAAATAATTTTAAGAATTAAACGAGAAGAGAAGAGAAGTTTTCTTTCCATGGAATAAAACAAAATCACATTTCTGCGATGCAAATATTTTCTCTGCGATCATTCCCCGTTCGCACTATTCTCTAGTTCTCTGACCACTTTGACGCTGAACGGATCTGATCAAATTCTTCCTTATTTTCCCATGAAGAGAGTTTAATCCTTGTTCGCAGATAATAGAATTTAGTCTCTGCATGATTCGATTATTTCAAGATGTCACACGTACGTAGATTTTTACTTTGATTCTACGTATAATCTAAATTTGTAGCTTCTTCGCTGCATATTTGATGTAACTGGGCAGATTCGATCAAGTGCATGGAACCAACTCATACTCGCATGGCAATGGAATATCCGCAAGCACTAAACAATTCCAAGGTTTTAGAGCACATATTCCGTTTAATTAGTTATAAAATTACATTTTATTTATCAAAGATACCAAACACAGACGTAATAAACGCAAAATACAAATACTAGATCACTGTACCTTCTTCCGCCATTTTGTTTCCCGTGGGCGACGCGCTCTTTTTCAAAGCATACACCCACAAGGCATTTTGGGAGTTTTCTATTGCTTTTTTTTTTTTTTTTTTTTTTTTTTTATCACTTACAATATTAGAAGGAAATTAAAGGCAGTGCTATTTTTTCTTCACTTTGGAAAGGTCAAAATCAAAACACTTTCTAATATTAGTTATTATAACGTGGCTTTAAACGTTGTTTTGTCTTCATTTTACCGTTCGGTACCTCAAAGATCACAAATTGGTGCCTTCGAGTCATTTTAAGACTCATTGACCTTCGGTGTTACGTCGCAAATAAACTGGTCCTAGATATCTTGATCTAAGATTCGCTTGGTTTATCTCCGAAAAAAATTATCTGTAGATCAGTTCAAGAGATTCATTAACTAAATCATTAGTCAGCTAACTCTGAACACGTATCAGGTATCAGTTATCAGTAATACCGTGTTGCGTGATGCTCTCTAAAAAGAAGACAATGACACATATTTCATTTCCGATACTCTCTGAGCCTGTCTCAAAAAGCGAAATAGTCTAATTTTGGATCTGTTTTTCACTCAGGACAATGCTTCAGCTCAAGGAGAGGATGGCGAGACGTTTAAGGACCTCACACAAGCTCCAGTTACAGGCTTATGTAAACTTACGCTTCATAGTTTTTCAGTCTCATGCTTTATTCATTCTGAAGTAAAAAGTTTTTATAGACGTCTCGATCTTGCAATGAGGTCATGGTAAATTTTTTCGGTCAACGTACTGGCCAAAATCTTATCTCAAGAAAAGTTAGTCATTGATATAACCCAAGGAAAGCCTAAATACTAAATGCATTTCAGTGACTTATTCTATCAAACGTTCTCGACAGTCTTAAAGGCTTCCGGTAATACGAAATATCTTCGATTGTTTGAAATTCAAAACAATTACCTTGTTTTTGATCTTTAAAGGGCGGTTCAGTCACATTCATACTAGCCTGAGGAAAATACCCCGCTAATGTCTTGCCACTTGCGCAGATACGTGACGTGTGAGGAACAAACCACTAAGTTTAATTGTTTTAATTTTTTTTTTTTTTTTTTTTTTTGAAGAGGCTTACAAGCATTTTCGACAACACTCTTTTTCTGTGCAATTGTCAATGCAAACAGTTTTTCCCGGCTTTGTGGTCTTTTTCATTTTTCTTACCAATTATTCTGACGTTGTTAAATTCCTCCTTCCCAAAAAAATTAAGTCGATCCAACAAGTATTCACTGTTTTACGTGCCCGCCTCCTCTCGGTCGTCATGGTAACTATCATTTGATTGCCAACTTTAATTCATGCTCTTGATGTCAAAGAAAAAAAATAGACTTCCTTTTGCTTCTTCTGATCTTGTCACGAAATGTGATTTCGGTGATATATTTTTGTTAAAAAAATAAATAAAAATCCCGAAGACAAAAATTATTAAATCTGAAATTCTGCCGTGGGCAGTTCACCGTACGAATCGGCTTTCCTCTATAATTCCATCATTTCATAGTAAACTCTAGTAATGTTCCAAGGTCTTGTCCCCTCTAATACAAATCTAAAAAAAGAATAAAAGACGATTTCAAACCTATTCAGGAAGTCAGAAGTTTGCAAATATAAAATAAGTTCCCAGAGGTCTTCAGTTATTTTTGGTCATTCAAACGGTTCATTATTTAAGCTGTATAAATAGCCATTTTACCTCCCACCATGCAAATTAATCCTTTGACTATGTTTTGTCTCGTATGACCGATCCCTTTAGGAAATGTTTGTTATTCCATTTTATCATCGTTTTCAGTTTTGCTTTGCATCCCTTTGAATACAGTACTTCCTTGAATAGTTTCCACCTTTCATACATTGCCAACTCCGGACTTATGTAACTCCCGTCAAACTGACTAGCCAGATTCAATCCGTCTTAAGCTACGAAAAACAAATCTCTACATTTCAAGAACTACGGCATGGTCACCGACATTCACAGCGTTCTTGGACGATCAGGTATTGTGTACCTATTTTTTTGCGGTCAGAACTGTGTCTCTGCGTCAGAGTCAGGCTCTCGAGTACAAGAGCTATTGAGTATTATCAAGGGAACAATGATTTCAACAAATATCTATCCTACTCAAAACCGGTCAGGAACAAATCCTATCCTGCTTTGATCACAACATACAATTTTGAATTTTTTCTAAGGAAGCTTCTTCCTGATTAATTGTGTACTTATTAATTTTTTTCTGCAGTGTTTGCTGTGATCTGATCCGCGACTCACGAAGAAAATTCAATCCAGAAGTGAAGGGAAAATCCGTCACGCTCGGTTAACGTCATACAATTTGTCACGCACTCGCCTCACGAACCAATGAAATGAATCGCCTCCCCAGTCCCTTGAAGGGGAGTCAGCGGTAGCCTTAACGTGAACAAACAGGAGAAATCTGTGCTTACGTGACACTTACGGTCATGAAGTTTAGAATCGTTAGATTTATTTTAGGAATTGTAGGTCTTATTGTGATAATTCAGGTGTTGACGACCATTTATTTCTCGTCCAAACACTGGCCAGAAGAACATCCAGTGCATGGGAATCGACATGTTCCAAGATCGAGTTTAAAAACCGGCCCACACGTGGGGATCGAGTCAAAACAGGTAATGAAGATAAGCAAATTTATTTAATTGAAGAAAAAAAAAATTTATCATCATTTCCGTGAATGACTATTGCTCTTTCTTTCGGGTTGTATTGAGGCATTCAAAACCGCTAATTATTCTAGAATTGCCAACCCACTTCTATAATTTTCAATCAAAACACTGCACTAGTATCTATCAGCTGAACAATATTTTGCGAGCGGTTTGTTTTTCCTTCTTCGCCTGTCTTATTCTAAGGAAAATCCTGACGGGATCTTGCGTTAACAGAGCATGATTAAGTTTCACATTTTCCCTGTATATAAACGATTCATCAAAATATATTTTTAAGGAATTTTCTTCGCTCTAAGAATGGTTTTTGTAAAGCAGCTATGTTCCCATTGAATAATTTAACAAAGTTACTGGTACTGCTTTGGTCGTCACTCGGACTTTTAAGACCTAATTATTCCAACATCGTGTTGTGGAAAGAAGTTCATCCTTAACACTTCTCGCATATTTGGAGGATCTGTTAGTAAGAGAATATCCTTCAACGTCATTTCCCCTTGAGAGTCGCGACACCCCAAAAAGTTTCTAGATTGTTCATTAGTTATTTACTCGTCAATACAAAATAGCGAATACAGTGTTGATTTAAGATAATCGACGAATAGCGAAGTCTCGTATCTATATCAGAAGTGAATATAGCAGAGAGTTCTAAATCCGCTTAGATAAGCTTTACAAGCACTTAGATCGTACTTATAAAAACCATGTTTATTGTGAACTGTAATCTCGCTGCATAATTGCAGTGTATTATAATGTTCACGGGTCATTGTTCGGTCTAGTAAATATTCCGCCGCGGGCGAATACTAAATAGATCGATACCTTAGAATAAGTGAAAAGCTTTAAAAAAGAAAAGCGGCAATTCATTGAAAACGAATAAAAGAATTATAAGTATAAAACTGCAATGATAAAGTCATCAACATCCCACTGAATAACATAAGTTAATTTTTATCAGTGATTTCGGTCTATGATTATTTGTTTTAAGGATTAAACATAACAAAATGTATTTTAAGTGGCTCTTCGATTCATAATATTCAAATTTAAATGCTTATGGACATTTCCAGTGGCCTTAGAATTGCATCTATACTGAATGCTCTATCAACATTGCTGATTAATATTTTTCACCTATAGAGGGGCTTTTTAACAGATAATGACATCTTCCTTTGAATATAAAGCAATAAGTTATTATTGTGTTTAAATAATGAACACAGCTGAATTCATAAAATGTGGATCATCATGTTTTCTCAAAATCATTGCTTATCTCACCTGTCCATACATGGATTTTTAAGAATTTTATTTAACCCTTTTACTCCTGAAATTTCTATAGTAATTCTCTTTACTATCTACCGCATTATTCTTATAATGTTAGTTTGGATAATTTGTTATTGGATCAACCAGTAATTCCCTAATTTAAATTTTTTTCTCATCATTTTCTGCTTCACAGTGTTTTGACATTTTGGAGAAATTCTGTTTAGTCATCCATGAGAATGACCAAGAATTCTATCTTCTTCACCAATAACTCATTAATTGAATTAAAACTGTTTTTAACTTTTTTAATATTGTTTTTCACTTAGGATCCAGAACAAGGGGAACAGTTGAAAAAAACAGAGAAGAATAATGGGCAGGCAGCTTTAGAGCAACCATTTGTTCCTCCATGTAATGTGAAACACAAAGATGCTCTTTCTGCATTAAAGAGGGTGAAATCTGAGAAATGTAGAAGACTTATTTACAAGACAGCATGTCTGTCAGAAGCCAAATTACTATATACCTCTCTACTTGATATTAAGAGAACTTGCCCTGCACCACGTTCTACCAAGGGCCCTGCTAAACCAATTGATCTTAGTCGCACAGCATATGGAAACCCAATCAGAATTGCTTTTGTTCTTACTCTTCATGGACGAGCTTTCCGACAAGTAAAGAGATTATTCAAGGCTTTGTACCACAGTAATCACTACTTTTTCTTTCACATAGACACTGTAAGTATTGTTTGATTCTTCAGATATAAAATGTTTCACCCTAATACACCTTGCATCAGCATCCATATTCACTATACTCTTTTGTTTGCATTTCCTTTGGTTCTGACAAGGACAATTCATTTAACAATCAAAGCTTCTTATGTTAGCGAATGATTCAACAGTATTAAAATAAAGAGAAATGAGATGTCGGTCACCTATAGGAGACGCAGTGGCCTCATGGTTAGTGCACTCAACTCCGGATCGAGTGGTCCGGGTTCGAGCCCTGGCCGTGGTCATTGTGTTGTGCTCTTAGACAAGACACTTTACTCTCACAGTGCTTCTCTTTACCCAGGTGTACAAATGGGTACCAGCAAATATGCTGGGGGTAATCCTGCAATGGACTAGCATCCCATCCAGGGAGGA